ATTGAGATGATTGAATGACTGTCCCATTGGTTTGTTATATACTTGTGAAAACACTGGTTTCCATCATTTTATTCTTGCTACCATCGTGAGATAAAATGAATGCCTCAAAGAACCAACATACTTGATTCCAAGCACTATAGTTATATAAATTTCAAATTTGAAAACACTACTCTTAATTTTTTCCACTCTAAGAAGAGATGTGATTTCCAAGTCAATACTACATGAATATTTTCAAGGTAATAGTAGAAATCAAATAGTCAACCTTAAGTAAATTCAATGTCATTGCATTTCTCCCTGCTATTGTTTATATTTCTCAGTCTTGCGCTGTTTCATCCTTTAACACTATCTATACAAAGAAAGGGGACCTGTAATTTTTTTCCCCAAAGGTTCATTTCAACTTTAAAATGTTGATTTGGACACAGCCGCAGAGAAGAAAGGCCGCGTGGGGGGATCCACAGCTCCCGGAGAAGACACCAGGTCCCAAAAAGAGCCGAGATCACCGGGAAGTCCCAGATGGGGTAGGTGCCGCATCCTGCCTCCTCCAGATGGGACCCTGGTGACCAGAAGCCTCTACAAGCATAGTTCGACTATGTGGGAACTAGGACTTTTCCTCCAAACTGCTCGGCCGCTTATGCGGCCGCACGACATCTCCATTTATACAAAGTGATCAATGGAAAGTAAATCATCCAACATTTCTCTCTGAAAATCAGGCTTAACTCTTATACAAACCATAACACCCAATAGGAGAGAGAGAACAAAAGTGAATGCCCTGCCACAGAGACAGGGTGGGTTGGGGAGGGTGGGGGATGGGAGGGATACTGGGATCCGCGGTGGTGGGAAAGGGTCGCTGGTGGAGGGATGGGTATTCAAAATAAATAAATAAATTATAAAAAATGTTGATTTATCTGGGAGGTTGGTACCTGGGAGGAAGTATTACAAGGATCATTTGATAAGGAAGCTCTTTTGCTGCATACAGAGCAAAGTCCCTTCATATTGCATCTGTAGTTGGTCTACACAATTATACATGATTGAGGCAACGTGGCAACAGCATTGCAGTTAATCTCCACACACCTTGTTCAAACACTGCAGATGCATGGGACAAGGAGGGATCCCCTGGACACAGGAGATACAAAGGATATTAAAGGCTGGAGGAATAGTTTATGGACAACACTTCAGTATTCTAAACAACAAAGAATATGTGCACCATTTCTGTATTCTAAAAAACAACAAAAATGTAGGCAGGGCCTCCCACATCTTTGCAAGATACTTTTTTTTGTGTGGTCTGTTAAGCAAAATTCCACTCAATTATTGACTTGAATTAGTTCTGTGATCAGAATGATTTGTAATATCTAGCATTTTTTTAATATTAAAAAGGTGTGTACTCTTTTGCTGGTGATCTAGAATGATTTTAAAGTTTTGGTTTAAAGATATGCGGGGTGCATTTTTTTTTGTTTAACTTAATGCAAATCTTAATCCCCCAAATTCAAGGAAAGAACCACATTTTGTTATAATCTGTTTTAGGACAGGAAGAATAACTTACTTGACTTTTTTTTTTTTTGGCTTTTTGGGTCACACCCGACAATGCTCAGGGGTTAGTCCTGGCTCTGCACTCAGGAATTACTCCTGGCAGTGCTTGGGGGACCATATGGGATGCTTGGAATTGAACTCGGCTCAGCCGAGTACAAGGCAAAAGCCCTACCTGCTGTGCTATCGCTCCAGCCCCGATAATAACTTGACTTCTCTGTAATTTCTCAAAGTAGCCGATGTGAACATTGGGTAAGTGTTTACTGAGGAAATTAACACTTTAAACACACATCATTAAAATATATTTATGTATTCTGATGCTCCATGTTTTGTATGCTGGGAGGGCTACAAATACTTAACATTTTGTGATTTGGAGTTTTCAATGCAGTATAAACAATATATTATTTTAATTAAGGTCAGAAGCTCCTGGTAACTGAGGAACCATAACTGCTTACCTACTGCACCTATAAAAAGCTACCCTGTGTGTTCAGTAATACCAATACAACACAAAATATTGAAAATTAGGATCTGTTTTATTGAGCAATAAAATGCCTGATTCATTTTTCCACTAAAAAGTTTTTATGAGCATGTCTACTCAAGGAGTATTCATGTATTAAGTAAGTAGATGTTAAGGAAATAGATATCCAGGTACTTTATACTTTAGAAAGAACTCTCTGGTACTAGAGAAGATAATATAGGGGTACAAGGCACTTGCCTGTTATGTGACAAACCCAGATTTTGTCCCAGACCCTCATAGGTCACCTGATCCCTGCCAGGAATAATCCTAGAGCCAGTAGTAAGCCTTAAGCACTGCCAGGTGTGGCCAAAATTCCTCTCCCCTAAGAAAAAAAAAAAAAAGAAGAAGAGAAAGAGAGATGGGCAAGGGAGAGATAATTTTTTTTTGACTGGTGAGACATGTTCTATATTTCTAAGATGTCCAATTACTATGGAATAGTTTCATTAGAACTGCTCATTATTGTTCTTTGTCCTTCGTAGATAACAAAAATTGTTACAAAACCATTCTTACCAAAGGCTCAAAATACACTTCTTAAAGTGACTGATTACTGGACTATATTTCATTGATAGAGAACCTCCAAACTGCCTGATAGTCAAGCTCTGGAGCATTCTGATTATTAAAGTAACAAAAAATTGACCAAGAGTACTTGCTCCAACAGTCAACATAAATCGAGTTCATTGCTCAGTCATAAAAAATTCTACATGCAAGTTAAAGCTATTTAACTAATTCTCAGTTCTATGCAAGTTATGAGGTAGCTGCAAAAGTAGCTAATCATCTTCCAGAAAGCAAAACCAAAGGAAAAGGGGTTAATTATAAAAGTTTCAATATTTATTTAATAGACAAAATCTTGGGTTTTCCAGTGTTTTCTATTTGTACAATCCTTTATAGCACCTTTAACATCTTTGCAGTACTGATAAATTCCCCCAACGGACCAAGAACACAATAACTCTCATTTTTTAAAAAGTCTTTAAATGTGAAGTGCAGAGCTGCCCAAAAGGAGAGAGGCAAGTGGGAGACATATTTCACCTCTCCTAGCACCAGTAAATCATTTTGTTTTTGCTTTTTAAATTCGGAGATGGATGGTGCTCACCGATACCAATAAGATGTGCCTGTATGAGCTGTGGAGAAGTTCTCTTTCTGAAAATCAACTCCACCATGATGACCAGCAGGGCCAGATGTTGGCTAGAAGTGAAAGTGAGGGTAAATTTTCAAGGTTTTTCCAGACCTTTCTGTTGACATATATTTACTAGCCTTTGTTAAGATTGGTCACTAAACTAATGGTATTTTCTATATTCTATGGAAATTTCTATTATTTGATGAAAGTCCATTTCTCAGAAAAAGGTGGAAAATTCATTCAAGTTCTATGCTTCTGTGGGATAAGTGGAAAACAGTGTCACAAATTATATACATATATAAAATTATATATGTGTTTTGGGGCTCAGGGGGTTCCCAAACAGTGCTTAAGATATCCAGGACCTCCACTGGAGATTCTCAGCCAATTGGGAAGTTGGTTCAATGTAAGAGTACAGGATATTGTGCTGCTTAAGCCCTGCAGTACCTGGAATAGGTGATGCTCAGGTACGTCGGACCTGCACCCAGTGATGCTCAGGAGACCAAGAAGTGCTGGGAATTAAACCCAGGTTAAGCACATGCTAAACTGTTATACTATCTCCTGTCTCCTACAAATTATATTTTTAAGTAGTAAGATGGACTTCTTTGCAGAGCTCACTAAACTAGAGAGATGCCAGAGGATCATGCTTTCTTCTTGGACTGAAAAAGAATTCGATCAATGATGCTGGCACCTCCAAGATCCTTTCTGGAATGATGGATTCACACTGACAGACCAGATGTTGATTAGGAAGAAAATAGTATATATTATGGCTGACTTAAGGTCTTGACTGACGTAAAGTCTTGACATTACTGTGTCACATTTCAGCTCTGAGGGATCACCTCACCTGCCATGTCCAATTTTTTTTTTTAATTTCATAAGTAAGAGGCACTTTGGTTATATATTTTATATAATAAATACCATCATCTCCTTGCACCAGAATGTTTGTCATTAGCATTCATGGGTTTAATACTGTAAACATCTAGGCTCAGTTCTTCGAGAACATTTTCTTGTAAATAGGAATCTAACGATAGCATTTCCTCACCCACAATGTTACCACCCTCACATTCCCACCAATGTTGAGCACCAGTAAGGTATATTATGCAAGAACTCGACTATATCTCACTAGATACCAGAACAGAGTGATCTCTCGTCAAGAAGATCTTACAGTTATAGCATATAGTCTTTGGCTTAATTTAAAATTAAATAAGCAAATACAAGGAGGGTCGGAAGAGGATGAAAACCAATTTCACACCAAGTAAATGAGTTTATCACCCCTCCATCTTTACTTTCATTCCAAGTTAGCAGAAAAGGTGAATCGTGGGTTGAGCTTCCCCTGGTCGTAATTCTAAACTGTCTTCACCTATTAGAAAACTTGTCATATAAACAGTCAGACCACCAACTAAACCTCTTCTAGGAATAAATGCTTAGCCAATGAATAAACAATAGGATAATGGTTCATACAGATATACAGCAACCACAGACTCTCCTTACACATCTCAGAGAGTCTTTAGCACCTTTGCACAGGTTCCTTTCCACAGAGCAGAGAAAAATATCTGAAATGAGAGGAACACGCCTCGCTTCCCTCTGGCTGGGAACGTCTGTGAATTACATAGTTGTCACTGGGAATACCTGTGAATATACAGTTGCCGTCTTCCAGGCAAGAGAAAGATGTGGTCTGGGGTCTGATCACATCTCTTTGGAGGCACGCACAAAAACCCATTAGTATACCGGGTCCTCTGAATAGCATCATCACACAAGTCCCCAATCCTTTGCCATTGACAGAGGCAGTTGGGCTTGGGCTGTCTTAGCCGAGGCACTTGAGGGAAAGGCTGGGTCCACCTGTGGCCGTCAGACCTCCGAGCTATCGCTGTATGGGCCCCGCGGGGACATCATGGGCTCGCTGCTGCTGGAACCCTTGGGTGGCTCCTTCTTCTTGGTGCCCTTCTTCTTCTTCTTGCACATCAGTGCTGCGATGGCTGTGAGGCAGAGGCTGAGCAAGCCCAGCACCACGCCTGCCACCACCATGACCAGGTTGACCTCAGCGTCTGGAGTGTTGAGCTCCCGAGGGAGGAGGCCGTCGGGAGGAATTCTCCCCTGGGGCACTCGCTTCCGGTGGCTGCGGTCCAGGGAGATGTGCTGGATGTTGGTGCCTCGGTTTTTCTCTGCTCCGATTTCCCATGCTAGCGGCGGGGTGCTCCTGATCTCCCTCTTCTCCCTGCCCTTGCTCCCCGTGTGAGGCTTCTGCTGGCCCACCACCGAATGGTATTGGGACTCCACACTTCTTTTGCCAAGGCCTCGGTTGGCACTGTCTTTAGATCTTACCGTGTAGATGGTGTGTATATACCATTCTCTCCCCAGAGCAACCTACAAAACAGGTATTGCTTGTTAGAAATATGCTGGGGGCGGGGGCTGGAGCAATAGCATATGGGTAGGGCATTTGCCTTGCACCCAACTGACTGGGGTTCGATTCCCAGCATCCCATATGGTCCCCTGAGAACCGCCAGGTGTGATTCCTGAGTGCAAATGCCTGAGCATGCCAGGGTGTGACCCAAAAAGAAAAAATAAAGAAAAAAAGAAAAAAAAGGAAAGAAAAATGCTAGGGCAACATGATGAAGGACCATCTGCAAGATAAATGAACAGCAACCATAATTCAACATCATCTTAGTGGCCCCTACATTCAATACCTTCAATTAGATAGACACAGTTTTCTGCATGTCTGATACACAAGTCTTTGTGCAAATAATTGCTCTGTGGCTTTAGAGCACTCACCGTGCAGACTTAACAGCAAGAATTTGACTCCTGGTGTCACCTGTCTGTGCCAAGTTGGGTACCGGCTGCTCTGATTTTGTGCCTGGCAACTCTGCTGTCTAAAGTCCCTGGTGTCACCAATGATTTCTGGCCATACCACAGCTGCCTATGTGCAAGCATCAAACTAGACAATGTGATCCCTGGTGATTATTACATGTACAAGCAGCACCATGAAAGGAGTGTGCGCCCTGGGAAGCATGGTAGGTGAGTGTGCAAGTATCACAGCCTGATGTATAATCTCCAGTGAGCACCCTAACAAACTACAAACTGTGGCAGCGTCACGGGCATGCATTGTGTGACCCCAGGTCATCACCCCAACAACAATAGCAGAAGAAAGGGAAGGGGAGGAGGAAAGGATGAGGAGGAGCATAAAATAATAATAGTAGAAGTGGGATCAATAATGCAGTGGGAAGGGAGCTTGTCTTGTGTGTATCAAACCCAGGTTTAGTCCCTGGAACCATATATGGTCCTCTGAGCTCCACAAGGAATAAGCTCTGACTACCATTGGGTATAGTCTCAAAATAAAAATAAATGAATAAGTAAAAGTATTCTGTAAATATTCTGTGCAATTTTATGTTTCTTGGGGAGGTTACTTTTAGGTCATATCTATTGGTCCCAGGGATCAAACTGATGGCACTTGGATTCAAGGCAAGTATTTTATCCCCTATACTATCTCTTCAGCCTCAATTCTATGCAACTTTTTAAGGAAACTTGTGCTGATGAATATTTGATAATCTATGACTTGGAATCATTATGTGTCAGAGCCGGAGGATCTTTCACTATCACACAGTCTAATTCATCTAAAATTGAGTAAAAAGAATTCACAGCACCTAAGTGACTTGCTCAATGACACGTTACTCATTAATTCTGGTTACTGACTAGAATTTAAGCTTCTGGCCCTTAATATTCTTTTCATGATATGCAGTTACATGTTGTTTTTAAAACCATATAGAAGGTCAGCTTTTCTGGTTCTGTGAAAGAAGTTTCTGATGATGCCTTTTAAAGACTTTGGGAATTAGAGAACACCAACTTGTTAACTACAAACAAAAAATTTCAGCTTCTTGGTTGTAAGGATCCAGAATGACAAGTATGCTTCCTTCCTGTTTTCTTGTTAGGTTGACTAAAGATTAACACGTTTTTCCAGTTCATTTTGTCTGACACTTTCCAGTAAATATCCTGAAAGTAAATACACTTGCTTCCCCAAGGATTCTGAATGTGAACACATCTCTGAATTTGTTCCAATCACTGCCTTAAAATTTTGATGTTTTCTTATGTCTATTTCCACCATCTAGCTGCAGGCTAAAATGGTCTGTCTTGAATTTATAGTGTTTGAACTTGGAGATTTATGCCCCGTGCACATTATTTTTCCCCTCTGAGTCCAACAGTCATACAAGATCTAACAAACATGGGCTTGTACAGTCAAAAGGAAGGAAGTCTTGAATAAGAAAAACAGAAGTCCCAACCATCAGACTTAGAAATCTAAGACTCTGAGCTGAATAAGGGTCATCGCTGTGAAGATTTAAAATGGCATTAAAGCATTGACAATGCTAGTAATTAATGAAGACAATAATTTGAATTCATAGAATGCCTACTATGTGTATGGTGATGCTAAATTTCCGCCAACTTCCCTTCTTGTTTTTGTGATGGGGAAGAGGAGTGCACACATTTGCTTGTGGTGCTTGTCAGGGGTTCCATTTTATGTTGTGGTGTTCAAAAACTCAACCTTGCACGCAGCTGGCTGTGCTGCCAAAATCAAACACTGATGGTACAGCACGGATCCAAGATAGCAAGGTTTGCAGGAAAAAGATCAGGAGTAAATGGGATGCCTCATGGACCATCGCTGGATGCCTAAATACTGAGATTAACTGATAATTCAGACAAGTAGCTTGTGATTAATTGATGATTAATTTACATTGCTACTGTAACTGATATTGTGGAGATAATTTTTGTTAGTTTGGGTTTTCCTGGTTACAAGCTTATATGAATTTAAAAACTATTTTTGTATATTTGTGTTTTTAGGGGCCACATTCAGCAGTGTTGGTGTTGCTTCTGGCTCTGTGTTTTGGAGTTGCTTCTGGCAATGCTCAAGAGGTCCATGTGGTATTAAGGAACGAATGTGGGCCTCCTGCAGGCAATGCGTGCACTATAGAAAAAGTGACTCACCTGAAAAAGTGGTGTTGAATCAACTTTAAATCCATCAGATCCAGGCTGATTCACTAAGAGAATAGCTTCAGGGTCATCCATGGCCAGCTTAGCATTAAACAGAACATTTCCAAAACTGGTGGCTTGTGTCTCTGGCTGAGCTTTGTCCTTTTAGCAACAAGGAAAATGATAACAGCTACAGATAAAGCAAATTTTTGCACATGAAGAATACCATCCTACTAGTTTTGTGTAGGTATGAAACTACCATAAAATAAATGCCATATTACACATATAAACCAAATATATTACTATTTGGTTTCATTTTAAAAGATATTCTACTGTTTTAAAGTCTAGGTGAAAAAACCTCTTCACTTTGAATATCTACCTCTTTCATTGTTTGCCAAAGCACTTACCACAATTTTAAATCTATATAAGAGTGAAGGAGAATCAGCTAAGCATCCATATTCTGCATTGGCTGGGCTGTACTTGGGGACATAGCCATCGGCTCCAGTGCACAGGAACACCTTCTCAATGCTGCAGTAAAAGGAATCACCAAGATTCTGGACAGGGTCTACCATGACACGGCCATAAATTATGTCACCTGAAAAAAATATGGGAAAGCAATTTGTCTCTATTTGACAGGGAAGATATGGTACAACATGTCTTAGCCCCGAGATCTGATCTATGCCCAAGCTGTAGAGATCGCTTGTGGGGCTGGAGAAAGTGAATGCTTTGCATGCAGGGGCACTGTGTCTGATATCTGGTGCCACATGGTTACTTGAGCACTGGAGCAACCTCTGAATATTATGCCAGAAGTAGCCTCTGAGCAAAAAAAAAAAAAAGTAAATAAAATAAAAATTAAGACTATTTTTCTTTTTCTTTTTTTTTTTTTTAACATATTAAGCAATGAACTATTTCCTGGTATATACCATGAGGTACAGTTGTAGACTTACAAATTTTTGTGCTTGGGTTTCAATTGAAGACCATTTTTCTGACTGAACACAAGTAACTCAAGGTTTACTAACCACCTCACATTTCATTTAATAGTATGAGTGACCTCCATGCTTGTCCTCTAACCCACCACTATACTGTTGAGTTTCCCACTGACAGTAATGAATTCATTGACAAGACAAATTTGTTATAGGATATACTCATAGTGTATGCATGTAATATAGTACAGGCTATATGTCATATAGACTATAGACTGACGTAGTAGAGAGTGACAGTAAAATCACACCTATTAAGAGTCAGATTAACTTTATTATTTTTGAAAGAGGGGGTTAATATTGCACTCCCGCATTCAAATTTTGCAGCATACTGGGAATTCCCTCCGAAACAAACTTTTGCCCCTTAGGCATTTACAGTCTCATACTGTTGCAATAATTTCTTATGCAACTTGAAAAGTCAGTTTTTAAAAAAAATTAAAAAAAATAAATAGGCTTTGATTCAGAGATATAGTACAGCCCGTAAAACACTTGCCTTGTGCCTGGTCAGCTCAGGATTGATCATGGCACCCTACAGTCCCCTGAGCACTGCCAGGAATGATTCTTAAATGTGGCCCAAAACAAAAAAGCAAAAACACCCAGACCTGTTTCAAAAGTCATATAGGTAAGGTAAAGTAAAGGCCCTCCCGTTGTTTGTCGATTTGCTCGAGCGGGCCCAGTAACGTCTCCATTGGAGACTTTGTTGTTACTGTGTTTGGCATATCGAATACGTCATGGGGAGCTTGCCAGGCTCTGCTGTGCGGGCGAGATACTCTCGGTAGCTTGCCGGGCTCTCCGAGAGGGGCGGAGGAATCGAACTTGGGCGGGCCATGTTGGCTGCGTGCAAGGCAAACGCCCTACCGCTGTGCTAAAGGAAATAGAAAACAAATTTTTACAATAAAACTGTCCTGTAGGGGCTGGAGCAATAGCATAGTGGGTAGGGCGTTTGCCTTGCACGCGTCCTACCCGGGTTCAATTCCCAGCATCCCATATGGTCCCCCAAGCACCGCCAGGAGTATCTACCAGGAGTAATTCCTTAATTTCTGAGTGCAGAGCCAGGAGTAACCCCTGGGTGTTGCTGGACCTGAGAGTTACTGGGTGTGACCCGAAAAGAAAAAAAAAACCTGTCCTGTAACACATGTCCAGTTTTAGTGAGCCCACTCATTTCCACACAACTGGTAATGACCCAGTTACATTCTCAAAGCCATGCAAGAGATTTGGAAACTAGAGAGACAGTAGGTAGGGCACTTGCCCTATACATGGCTGACCCAGGTTTGATCACTGGTATCCCAGGTAGTTCCCTCAGCCCTCCAGTGTGATCTCTGAGCACAGAGCCAGGAGTAATTCCTGAGCACACACAGCTGGAGGTGACCCCCCAGAAACCAAGCAACCTCCTTGCCACCATCACCAAATAAACACGCGAAATAATAATTTTCATCCACAAATATTTTCCCCTAAAAGCCAAGGGCAATAGATAAAACAAGGGAATAGACAGAGCAGGGCTCTCGTTTGGAAAGTGCTACCTTCTGCAAAAGCGACATCACTCTCTTGCCCAAATCCCATGGATCCATCGGACAACCACAAACTCTTCTTGGAGAGTAGATACATCTGGGTGTTCAAGCTAAACTCAGCCGCCACAGGATCACTGACCTGTAACCAAGTGCAAATCATCATCGATTCTGATTAATCATGAGCAGAGGATTCACAGACACACACATTCACTGTACACTGACAAGCAGAAAATGATTTACTGTGCAGAAATGTTCATGCCAAACAAAACCAACTTAGAGAATTGGAATACTTCCTTTGTCTTCTTTGAAAATGCAAAAATAGCAAGCTTGTTTAAATGGGACTAGTAACATTGCTTGAGCTCATATTTACTGGATTATTGGGGTACATAAAGGACTTGTGAATAACGTGGTGAATGAAGACCAATCTACTACAATATTTTTGACCAAAGATACTATCATACTTCTTTTCATACATATGACAAATCCTTTGAGGTAGTATGAACTACATGATATTTACCGTCTTTGCATAATAAGAACAAAACAGAGAAATACAGAAAAACTCAGGAGAAAATCCTTGAATCTTCACGATAGCATGCTCAGGAGGAGATCACATAAGAAACAAATACTCTACACATACTCTTAAACTTGGAATTTTCTCAACTGGACCAACAACAGATAAAGGAACAATCTTTCTTCCGTTTTACCTCTCTGCCTTTCTTCTTACCTGCCTTTCTCTTTTTTCACCATGTAAGAAAGTCATAGCATTAAAACAAAATTTCAGTTCACTGATAAAAGTTCACCATGATTTTCACAGAATGGAGTGACTGGGAAAATAATATGTATATTATGAGACACACCTGTTGGAATCGGATGTCAAGGTCAAAGGTGACTGGCTCCCTGGGGTTGCAGGTAACTGGCAGGCGATACTCTTGATAGGATGGGGTGGTGCATGGGAGAAGTTTTACAGTGTAGGTCCCTGAGTAGTCACGCACCTTTGAAGAGAAAGGAGGACATTGGTGTTTTTCATTTGAAAATCTGTTTGCAGGGCAGGCCTGGGATATAGCTCAATGGTAGAGTTATTGCCTAACATGTGTTAGGTTCAATATCTAGCATCTCTCTCTCTCTCTCTCTCTCTCTCTCTCTCTCTCACACACACACACATACACACACACACAGGCACGCGCATGTGCGTGCAAAATAAATCTCAGGTTGTAAATAGAAGAAGTAAAAAAGGTAAAATTCAGTAAGAACTTCAGCGTCAGGGGATAATGGCTCAGTGGCAGAGAACCTGCCTTGCAAGCATGTGAGCAGAGGGCTCTGAATTTGATCCCCAGTACATGACAGAGTATGAGGACAGACCCTCTGCTCTCTGGGATCTCGGAGTCTCAACTATGTGAGCAATCTCTACTACTAAAATGTGTGCAACCTGGGGGCAAAAGAACAGCAGGTAGGGTGCTTTCCTTGCACATGGCTGGCTTGGGTTCAACCCTTGGTATCCCATATGGTTTCTGCACACCTTCAGGAGTAATTCCTGAGTTCAGAACCAGGAGTAACCCCTGAGCATTGCTTGCTGTGACCCTAACACAAACAAACAAATAAAAGCATGCAACCCTTGATGAACACCACAGCCCAAGTGTGGGAGCAACATAACCAAGCTTGGACGCTTGTCCTGTCGTCATAGAACAGCACCTACCAGGATGGAAGAAGGAAGGGGAAAGTGTAAGCTCGGTGACTTACTGCAAAGTCAGAAACAAAGCTCCACTGCTGCTCTGGCTGGTTGTAGGTGGGTTCACTCCTTATCAGGCGGAGGGAGAAGGTCAAGCCTGGGTGATCCGCTGACATAATCATGGAGCTTGTGAAGGATGCTGGGAAAACGGCAAGAATGGCAATGGGCTATGGTTCAGAGTGCATAAACATTAGAGTTCTCAGGCTCAAGGGACAGCACAGGAGGTAAGAAGCTTGCCTTGTCATGCTTTCTGACCCAGGTTTGATGCCCAGGACTGCATGATCCCCCCAAACACCTTCCAGGGGTCATTCTCTGACCACTGGCTGTGGCCCAAACACCCCAAAATGCCCTCAAAAAAGAGTTTAGAGTTCTCCAAATTCTTTACCATGCATCACTTGCTTTTATTCTTATAATAAGCATGAGAAGTAGCAGGGTTGGGATAATTATCCTGATTTTGCAAATAAACGGGGCTGGGAGTGATTATATGATTCTCCCTAGATCACACAACTAGGATGTGTCCCCCTGACTCCTAATTTGATGCTTTTTTCCCATTCTATAATTCTGTCAAAAGATAATTGTGCAGAAGTGCCTAAATAGTTCAGGGCTACTGTCCAGGGAGGCAGAACCGAGCGTGCAATAAAGGCTGAAGTGAATGTGCTTATTGTGCACCAAAGCTGCATACGATACTTCAGTCTCTTACCATCCAAACAGCTGGGAAAAGGCAACTTAGAAATGGGATCTAATTTTAATGATATTGCCAGCAATCATGTCTAACAAAGATTTGGTTTATTAGAAAGGTAGACATGTGGAAATGAACTGTAAAGACCAGGAAATCCTGGTGTTCCACAAAGATCAGTGACAATGAAACAGAATAGTTCTTTTTGGTTCTGTATTTCTTGTAGCTCTGTCTCATAAAACACAATAATCCTTTCTTTGCCTGAAGTTTTAGCTTAATTTTCTTTTATCTGGTAGGCCTCATGCCCAGAAAGGGGAAGGATATTGTTGCTAGTGACTTCTTTTGCCTTCCAATCTGATGTGAATGAACACACCAGTAAAATATACAAATTCGTTTAGTGACATGGAGAATGATACAGAAATATGCTTAATGATATGTCCTTTATGTTAAAAAAAGAACAAAGGAGACTTCAGTAACCACATTGCTGATATTCATTGTATAATTCAGTCCAGTTAGTAAAATTATATAAGCAATACTTGAAGTTAGCTCATCAAAAGGAACCTTAAGGAAAGGAGTGAAGTTAACTCATCAAAAGGAACCTTACGGAAAGTTATCTCATCAAAAGGAACCTTAAGGAAAGGTGTGAAGGGCCACTTCTAGCTAAGATACTGAAGCCTCTTACAGTTCCTGAAAAAGGATATGTGAACAAAGAAGCACTGGGCTGAACAAATTATTTAAAATCTACTAGAATTTTCTGATGATGGTGGTTGGGGGGATGGCTTCCAAGCAGTGTTTGGGAGGCACTTGGCATTGCTCTCGGGCCTTTAGGGCATTTCTGGTGATAACCAAAGGTCCTTATGGCTGGCAGTGCTCAGGGGACTAGCTAGTGCTGGGGTGACACAGGGGTCGGCTACATATGAGGTATGTGCTTTAACCCCTGCACCATCTGTCTAGACACTGAAATTATTATTCTTAAAATTATTATTTTTTTTGATGTTTGATCATACCCAGACATGCTCAGGGGTTACTCCTGGCTCTGTATCCAGGTATCAATCCTGGTGGTAGTTGGGGGATTATATGGAATGCCAGGAATCAAACCCAGATCAGCCACATGCAAAGCAAATGCCCTACCTGCTATATTAAAGCCCTGGTCTATTATTATTATTATTATTATTATTATTATTATTATTTTAAATGTGATCAATGGGGCGCAGCGGGTAGGGTGTTTGCCTTGCACATGGCCAGCCCGGGTTCGATTCCCAGTATTCCATATGATCCTCGGAGCACCGCCAGGAGTAATTCCTGAGTGCAAAGTCAGGAGTAACCCCTGTGTATCACCGGTGTGAGTCAAAAAGTAAAAGGGGAAAATGTGATTGAAGGGGGAAAAGGGATTGTTATTTCCATAGTTGTTATGGAAGAAGAATTCTACATTAAATGAATTCAGGATTTTCGTTGAAATCATGTCAACCATTCTACATTTTCTTAAAAAGTCTACATAGACTTCTAAGATAAATAAATAAAGAAAGGTAGCAGGACAATGATCAAGTCTTCACTATGTAGTTGTGTGCACACTTACCATGTATTTGAAATTACGGGCTTCAAAGCTCACAAGGAAGTAACCTGAAGCAGTGTGAATATGGGCAGCTCTACACTTCTTGTAGGAGGAGTGGCTGTTAATGAACAACAGGGCTTACCTGGATGAGAGAGCACGAACAAGCCATGGAACTGAGCTGCCGTCTTGAAGTTCACAACCAAGCGACCCTCCTCACCGATGCGCATGCTGGTTGGATAGAGAGAACCTACAGTACAGAGTGAAAATAATGGTGACCAGGGACTCTTTTTTTTTAATTTAAAAAAAAATTTTTTATTAGTGAGACACCATGAGGTACAGCTGTAGACTTACATTTTTTTGTGCTTGGGTTTCAATTATACAATGATCAAATACCCATCCCTCCACCAGTGCCCATTTTCCACCACCACGGGTCCCAGTATCCCTCCCACCCCCCATCCCCCCCATCCCACCCTGCCTCTATGGCAGGGCATTCCCTTTTGTTCTCTCTCTCCTTTTGGGTGTTGTGGTTTGCAAAAGAGGCATTGGGTGCATATCATGTTTGGTTTATAGTATACTTTCAGCATGCTTCTCCCATCCTGGGAGGATCTTCCCAACACCCTTTATTTGGTGCCCCCTCTCTATCTGATCTCCCTTTTCCCCTAGTATGTGTGGCTGGCCTCCAAGCCATGGAGCAAAACTCCTGGTACTAATCTCGGCAATTCTTGAGTGTTAGTCTCCTATTTTGTTACTTTATATTCCCCAGATGAATGTAATCTTTCTATGTCTATCCCTCTCTTTCTGACTCATTTTGCTTAACATGATACTTTCCATGTAGTAACACTTGTCTGTAAATTTCATGACTTCATCCTTTCTAACAGCTACATAGTACTTCATTGTGTAGATGTACCAAAGTTTCTTTAACCAGTCATCTGTTCTAGGGCACTCAGGTTTTTTTTTTTTTCCAGATTCTGGCTATTGTAAAAAGTGCTGCAATGAACAAACAAGTGCAGATGTCACTTTGACTATACTTTTTTGTCATTCTGGGATATATTCCCAGGAGTGGTATTGCTGGGTGAAATGGGAGCTCAATTTCTAATTTTTTGAGAATCGTCCATACTGTTTTCCAAAAGGGCTGAACCAGTCGGCATTCCCACCAGCAGTGAAGGAGGGTTTGACCAGGGACTCTTAATGTGCAAAATTTCTTCTAAGAAATAGTGCAAATTTGCCTCATTTTTTTAGTTTTATGGAATCACCATGAGCTACAGTTATAAAGCTTTCATGTTTGAGTTTCAGCCATACAATTATTGAACATCCATCCCTTCATCAGTGAACATTTTCCACCAACAATGCCCCTCGTATGCCCTTCCCCACCCCTCCCCCCGCCTCCATGGCAGACAATTTCCCTCTGACTCTCTTTCTCTCTACTTATGATTTGCCTCATCTTAAAACCTATTAGTCAAAGGGAACTTATTAGAATTCTGAGTGATATGAGAGGATGGGGTATTTTTGTGTTGTTTTTCTAAGGAGAAAAGGAGGCAAGGACGAAGAAGATGACATAATGAAATCAATATTAAATATGCAGTGGGATTAAATAGGACAAGGCAGAAGACAGACTTAGGCTACAAAAATAAAGCTGCAAAATTGAGAGACATGATAAACTTGTCAAAGTTGAAGATTAGGAGATATAAGTGGAAACAGGATTGTGCTCTCTACAAAGAGTAGACTTTTCGTTTTATTTTATTTTATGTTATTTTGCTTTTTTTGAGTTGTTCTCAAAAGGGTGCTGAGAACATAAACCAGGTCTGGCTGCATGCAAGGCAAAGGCTTAACATCCATACTACCTGGTCCTGAGTACAGTCCTTTTTGGTTGTTAGTTTTTTTTTATTTCTTTGTGTTAGGGCCACATTTGGCAGTTCTCAGGGTTTACTTCTGGCTTTGTGCTTAGGGATCACTCCTGGCAGGATCAGAGGACCATATGGGATTCAAAGAATTAAACGCAGGTCAGTCACGTGCAAGGCAAGTGCCCTACCCACTGTACCATCACTGGGGCCCCTCCTGAATACAATTCTATGGCCTTAATGAAAACTCTTAAGTTTCCCTAAGAAATGCAGCAGTTTCATCTACATTGCCTCCAGATAGAAGAAGGAATATCCTTGTTTAGAAATTGAGAACCGCAGACTTGATGTGCTTTAAGTCACTTAAATATGCGTTTTCTAAGCAAACTGTAAAATAAAAATATCTGAAACAGTTTGGCAAACAATATTTTTAATCAAAAATTCTTTTTAAATATTTTTTAATTAATGAATCAGTTTGGCAAATAATTAATTAGGTGATCATATTACCATCCTCATGGCATTGAGATGATCTCCATCTGTCCAAAGAGTTGATATTGAAGTTTACAATCAGCAGATGAACAATATTTGCTTTTGGGATGTAAATTTAGTGCAAGCAGGATGTGGACTCAATAGTCAGGAGAACTTACTTTAGCTAAATAATAGGCAGTTTTCAAAAGAACCGAATTGTCATAAAGGTTAAGAAATATTGGACTAAAGGGACAGTCCAGTGGGTTGAGCACATGCTTTGCTTGTAGAGATTTAGGTTTGATCCCTGGACCATCTGGTCCCTTGAACACCAATAGCAATGATCCCTGAGCACTGAGCCATGAGTAGCCCTTGAACACTGCTGGGTGTGGCTCCTCCCTTTCCCCAAAATTGAGAGGTATGTTTGAGAAGACATAACTAGTTATATGCAGATTCAAATCTAGAATCCAGGACACAACTATATTGTACTTTAAATGCAATCCTCATTTTCCAAAACAGAAATGTCCCCTTTCCCCTTGGGCCATTTCTTATTTTTTTCTTACTTAATTTTAATTTTGGGTTATACATCTGGTGGTGCTCAGGGATTACTCCTGGTAGGCCTCAAGGGACCATACAGGGTTCTGGGGATTAAACCTGGGTTGGCTGTGTTCAAGGCAAGTGTAGTATCTGCTGTACTGTCACTCTGTCCCCAAGCAAATTGTCTTAAGATAAAATATAAATGTTTTGGTCAAGAAGGCAGGCTATGGAATGGGCAGTTGTGGTGGGAGGGATCCTGGTGACATTGGTTTGGTGGTGAGATTGGTGTTGGAACATCATATGCTCGGAACTTAACTGTGAATGACGATGCTTTAAAAAAGATTGTCTTTGTTATTTTTAGTGGTGGTGAAACTTCCTCTTATTCAAATGGATCTGAACACAAGTTTTCTGTTAGCTCACCTTGGAGTTCAGCTTCGGGTGGGCTGCCAATTCCATCATTCCACAAGATGGCAGTATCATACACAAAAGTTAGGCGAAGCTCGGATTTCAGGTCAAAATGCTGCCAACCTCCTACTCCAACAGGGGAATGGAACACATAGGAAACGTACAGAGGAACTCGAAGGGTCACATAAGACTGCACTAGGTTCAGCACCTAAAACAAAATACAACTATAGCTATCAGCACCATTCAGTACTGTTAAACAGATGAACCAAATTTTGTACACGCAATTTCTCCCTCTTCTTTACCTGCAGATTTTGAGTATTCATGGAAGAAAGGAAATAACAGCATTTACAAAACTACAGTTCTCTCACTTAATTTGGAGCAACAAAATATTCGTTTTCATGTGCTGGGGGAGAAGGCAGTTGGAATGGAGGAGGGATTACTAAATCAATTATGGTTGGAGGCATTGCTCAGGATGGGAGATGTTTGCTGAAAGCAACATGATGGCCTCTCAAGATATGTATAGCAAACCATGATGCCCAAATGTAGAGAGAGAGTAAGAAGGAAGGTTCCTGCCACAGAGGCAGGGGGTAGGATAGGGTGAGGGTGGCAGAAGGGATACGGGGGACATTGGTGGTGGAAAGGGTGCACTGGTGGAGGGATGGGTAGTTTGATCATTGTATGACTGAAACTCAATCATGAAAGCTTTGTAACTGTATCTCATGGTGATTCAATAAAAAATAGAGGGAGTGAAAATGAAAAAAATAAACACCCCCCACCCCCCAAAGAAACCCTATGCTTCCTTCCTTTGCAAATAAAAGCCATGTGGCAGAATCTTTAAAACAAGCAGAATTATTTTGAATATACTATATTTAGACAGTTTTTCTTAATTGTTTTAGAGAAGCTTTATTAAAATATTCAGTAGTACACAATAGCCAGAATTTGGAAAAAACCTGAGTGCCCGAGAACAGATGACTGGTTAAAGAAACTTTGGCACATTTATACAATGGAGTACTATGTAGCTGTTAGAAAAGACGAAGTAACGAAATTTACATACAAGTGGTACTACATGGAAAGTATCATGTTAAGCAAAATGACTCAGAAAGAAAGGGATAGAAATAGAAAGATTGCATTCATCTGGGGAACATAAAGTAACAAAATAGGAGACTAACATCCAAGAATGGCCGAGATTAGTACCAGGAATTTTACTCCATGACTTGGAGACCAACCACACATACTAGGGGAAAAGGGAGCTCAGATAGAGAAGGGAACACCAAATAAAGATGTTGGGAGGATCCTCCCAGGATGGGAGAAGCATGCGGAAAGTAGACTGTAGACTAAACATGATTGTCACCCATTGCCTCTTTTGCAAACCGCAACACCCAATAAGAGAGAGAGAACAAAAGGGAATGCCCTGCCACAGAGGCAGGGTGGGCTGGGGTGGATGGGGGGTGGGAGGGATACTGGGATCCGTGGTAGTGGGAAATGGGCACTGGTGGAGGGATGGGTATTTGATCATTGTATAATTGAAACCCAAGCACAAAAATGTGTAAGTCTGCAACTGTCCCTCATGATGTCTCACTATTAAAAAAATTTTTAATATGAAAAAATAAAATAAAGATAAAAAATATTCAGTAGTACAATTATTTCCACCCTGGACAATTTTAGGAAATTTTCATCACCTCTGAAAGGAATTTTCTTTTTTTTTGAGGGGGGGGCACAGCCAGCTGTGCTCAGGGCTTACTCCTGGCTCTGTGCTAAAGTACCACTATATAAAAATAATAAAGTATTATATATTTGGGCTGGAGCGATAGCACAGCGGGTAGGGCGTTCGCCTTACACACAGCCAACATGGCCGACCCGAGTTCGATTCCTCCGCCCCTCTTGGAGAGCCCGGCAAGCTACCGAGAGTATTCGATATGCCAGACACAGTAACAACAAAGTCTCCAATGGAGACGTTACTGGGCCCGCTCGAGCAAATCGACGATCAACGGGAGGGCCTTTACCTTTACGTATTATTATTTGGTTTGAGGGCCAGACCCAGCAATGTTGAAGGATTACTCCTAGCTCTGCACTCAGAAACCACCCCTGGTGGGCTCAGAAGTCCAGATGGGATGCCAGGGATCGAATCTGGGTCAGTTACATGAAAGGCAAGTGCTCTACCCACTGTGCTATGGCTCTGTCTCTATGTGATTACTTATTCTGGATAGTTCATAGAAGTGGAGTCATACAATGTGTGATATATTGTTACATATGTAAGCTTTCATTTAGTTTAATGAAAGTTATGCAATTAGTAAGTATAATAAAAGTTAATTTTCAAGGTAAATCCATGTTGTACTGGGCTTTAATACTTCTATACTGAAGAAGAACATAATATTGTATTTGTAGGCCACATTTTATTTACTAAGTTGATGGGCATTTCAATTGTCTCCAGTTTTTTGCTTCTCAATTATTTCTATAAATGCTTATAAAATTTGACATGATAGTATATAAAATATTTATATTTATTATCTAAAGTATGTATTAAATAAACTTTATTGCTTGAGCGGGCCCAGTAACGTCTCCATCATGAGACTTGTTGTTACTGTGTTTGGCATATTGAATACATCACGGGGAGCTTGTAATGTTTTGCCGAGCAGGCGAGATACTCTCGGTAGCTTGCTGGGCTCTCTGAGAGGGGCAGAGGAATCGAACTCGGGTCGGCCATGTTGGCCGCTTGTAAGGCAAACGCCCTACCGCTGTGCTATAGCTCTAGCCCAAATAAACTTTATTATACAAAATATATCATATATGATGAAATGAAGCAGGAAAGATCTGAAAACACATATAATTAAAAACAAAAATAATGGGCCAGAGAGATTGACCCATTGTGGGTAAGGAACTTGTCTTGCACCGGCTGGCCAGGTTTTATCCCTGGCATCCCATATGGTCCCCTGAGCCCACCATGGGTGATTTCTGAGTGCAGAGCTTGGAGTAACCCCTCAGCATTGCTGGGTATGGCCCTCAAAACAAATAATAATAATAATAATAGTAATAATAATAATAAAAGACATATCAAAAACTAGATGAAATATTTTGCTCCAAATTTTATATTTTTTATGTTCAGGTACTGGCAGGTGAATTGGGAGTCATGAAGTTAACTAACATCTATTTATTGAGCACATACCACTTCTCAGGTACTGTGCTAAGTTCACCATCAAAGTTATTCACTAAGCCTACTTTTCTCCTTTATTATATTTATATGACTGTGTAGATTACTGGATGTATTAAATTGACAGATGATGGATTGGAAACAAGGAAAATCAGGGCTCAAAAGAGTAAAGAAAATTATTTAGGCTTTCTGGGGGGCCTGCTAATATCAGAAACCAGCTTTTGGCCAAAGCTGTTTCTATCGATCACATTTCATTGGATTCTATACAAAGCTGGTACAGTCTAAGGATATCTTAACAAATTCTGACATACTTAATTTTGAAAATATCTCGGCAGGGGCCAGAGCGATAGTACAATGGTTAGGGCATTCGCCTTGCACATAGCCGACCTGGGTTGAATCCTCAACATCCCATATGGTCCCCGAGCACTGTCAGGAGTAATTCCTGAGTGCAGAGCCAGGAATAACCCCTGAGCATCGCTGGGTGGGACACAAAAAGCATTAAAAAAACCCAGAGCGATAGTACAATGGTTAGGGCATTCGCCTTGCACATAGCCGACCTGGGTTGAATCCTCAACATCCCATATGGTCCCCGAGCACTGTCAGGAGTAATTCCTGAGTGCAGAGCCAGGAATAACCCCTGAGCATCGCTGGGTGGGACACAAAAAGCATTAAAAAAACCCAGCTGCATAGCAGAGCAAAAACAGTGGTCTTTAACACAGAGAAAACAAACATCAGACAGATCATTTTTCTTAAGAGTGAGGTTTTATGACAGTGTTCTTATATTTTTTTTCACACTCTTAGCAACTGGAATGATATTGGAATTTGTGAATACTCTGAACATAATAATGTAACTCTGTTTCATGGAGTTGAAAATCCATCAAATCACAATGATGACCTGAACCACCAACAAAGACATATAAAAGAAAACCAGCATCAAGTAAGTTATTCTATTGCAGCCTCTTAGTGGCTAGCACTCCCCATTATGTGCTAACATGGCCAGCCCTGCAATTGAAGTGCTCTGCGATAGTACTTCTAAGGATGAACTTTATTCTAATCATTGAGAAATCGATTGTGAAGTGCAGTTTTAACACCAAGAGTAGAATGGAAAGTGATTAGACCAATTGACATCACCTAGTAATGAAGAATAACAATGTACTCTGCAAAGCAACATGCAACCATTAAAATTCAGGGAAGTTTCCTTCTGATGGGAGAATGCATAAGGTATCTTAAGTTAAAAAGCAATATAAAGATGTTTTCTTATTACACTATTATGAATATGTGTATGCAGAGTAAAAGAGATTAGAAAATACATCTGCATAATGGTAGTGAGATAATGAGATGTTTATTCTTTTTCCCGGCTTTCCATGGCACTGTCATTATTGTCATTTAAAAAAAAATCCACATTATTTTTTAAAAAGGATGAATCTGACAAAACATCAAACACCATCCTTCAAGAGAGTTAGAAATTTTGTATGTTTCCTGCTATTTCTTACAAATTATTTAGAATAGCTGATAGGTAAAACAGAGGAAATGAGTACACTAAATTTAAAATAATGCCAATCAATCATTTCCAAGACACAGGCACCAAAGTTCCATACTGATAAATTAAACATGTCATAAAAAGTGTAGGAAAATATTCCCTAAACCCAGCAGCAAAGAAAAAAATACCTGTTGAGCTCCAGGGACCTGACTCAAGTGGTAGAACCTATGCCTAGCATAGGGAGCCCAAGGTTTGATCTCCATGGTCCCCTGAGCACCATTAGGAGTACTGGGCCAGCCCCATGAAAGTAAATTAAAAGAAAATTAGAAAGAATGTTTACTTTTACAAAATTAAAAAGGCACCAGGTCTTCTTCTAAGTACATTATACCTTAGTATTTCAAGTATGAACTGTAACTTGGACTGCATTTCTGGAGCTTATTCAGCCATTGGAATGATGTTATCAGCTGCTGTTTACCTAATAAAGTAAACGTTTAGATTCTGACCCTGCAGTTCAGAGAGTTAAGCCAATGATCGGTGGAATGAGCTGTGGGCTTTCATTTTTAAATACTGTTTTTGAGAGAAAAAATGCTTCAAATATCCAATAGTTTAAAGAAGTTAGTTTAGTTTTCATGACTATCTTGCCTCACGAATATTTTCACTGTGAACCAGCAATTTCATTTTCATTTATAAAAAAAAACTCACATCACACACAAAGTGGAGCAATCACTTATATCCATTTTCCTCTTTCCTGCTCTTTATCTGATTTTATTTTTTAAGAAACCATGACAAGTGATTTTATCCTTGAATATTACTAGAGAAATTCTACTTCTTTTTCCTGGCAAGGGAAATTGTTACCTGATAAAAGTGCAGATTTCACTTATAACTTTACTTTGTAAATTCTGTATCCTCTTTCAGTGTCTGGTATGCTCTATGATGATCATTAAATACCTTTTTAATAAATGAGACTTAGGGAGCAAGATAGTAAAAACAGAAATATAGGCTTAGTGTCAGCTAAAGCTACCGAAAGTCAAACTTCTCAGAACATCACCGCTGCTAACGGATTCTTACTGCTTCAGGTAATTCCTAGCACTTGGCAACTCTTTTCTGTAAATTAAATAATATGACTGCGGGAGGCTGAGCAATACAGAAAACCCTTTCAGAATGAGTGAGAAAGAACTTTTTAGTTACAAAGAAAAATGCAGGAACTTGGCGATATTTCATGGCATTAGCCATAACTACTAAGAATACTTGAGAAACAAAACAAAATAGAACAGAAGCTCACTATTTTGTTCCTGGAAGAAGCAGTTATTATTTGGTAAATTTTATCTGCACACTGATTATCTTCATTTCAGGTAGTAAGTCTAGAAAAGACAGGAAAGGGGAAGATAGCATCATTTAGAGGCTTGCTTAGGGCTGCGGAATTGACAGAGGTGAACCAGACTTGGGTTAACATTGGCCTCTTCTTTGAAGGTTCTTCTCTACTGGCCAGGCAAAATATCTTAAACCTGCTATGAACACATTTAAACCATGCTGATGGTTTACTTTTTGATCATTTCTCTCTCCATCACAACATAAAAGTTTGTGAAACTTTGGAAGTACAAAGGTAGTATGTATTCACCAAGAATTTGCTGCTTTTCAGCGACTCTTATAAAATGTCTTATTGTTCAATATGTTCACTTAAATCTCATCTGTCTTTTAATAAAAAATCTAGAGACCCTATAATTAAGGTATAACTGTAGCACTGTACTGTAGCGCTGTACTCCCTTTGTTCATTGATTTGCTCGAGCGGGCACCAGTGATGTCTCCATTGTGAGACTTGTCACTGTCTCTAAAAATGGGACAAAATTAGTATTTGTGTCATAGACTTGAAAAGACAGAATTAGCAGAAATATGTAAGATACTTAGAATGTCAGGCACACAACAAACATTGTTCTTGTTATTATCACTATTGTTAGTTATTACTATGATTATTTTTAGTCCAAAATAATGAGGGAACATTAGGAAAATATTTAAAATGTTTAGATTTCTTCTACTTAAATTTACATATATGTGTATTTCTTCTTATATATTTAAGCACTCTGTGTGTGTGTGTATGTGATGGAGCATGTGGGTGCTAGAAACATCAGTAACTAGGAAAAATAAGGAGTTTAAGCCTAAGGAAAAAAGTAGAGAAACATAAGCAGGTCATTTCTGAGCTTCATTTTAAGAGAATAAGAAATATGCTTTATTACATTGTACTGCCATTTAATTTACTTAAACATTTTATAACAAACATCTCTCAACTTCAGTGACTGCATTGAATGTAATCATGTCATCATCATGAGATGACGAGATAAATTTATTTCCAATTGTGCAAAAGTAGAAAAATTTTTTTAGAAGAAAGTAGTGTGGGGTTTTCAATAGAGATAAAGTCATTCACATGCATAAACAAGATGTGGAAAAGTGTTACCATTTTTCAGGGAAGACAGAAAATATTTTTAAGGATGAACAAAACCTGTTCATAGGGAAGTTTCGTGCTAACAAGTGAATCTGAACAAAGAAGAATTAGAACTATAATGTCATCCTTCTAGTACATCTATTTGTGCTAATAGATTTCAAAAGAAAAGGAGCTTGGTTTCTGCCCAGAGGGGAAAGGGTGTTGCCCCATTCGCCCTCTCTTCTCTGGAAAGAAGGATGGCGGCCGCATGGGAGCCTTGTGGACAGCAGGTATGAGCCGGGGGTGTGGGGGCGACTAAAACCTCATGGGAAGGGGGGCGTTCCGGTCCGTCCTTCACGACCTACCGAGGTCAACAGTTGCCCCCCACAAGCGGCTTCCCAGCACGGCCACAGCCCCAGAAGCACAAGGACTTAATGCAGAACCCGGCAGCTTGGAGCAGAAAAGTGAACGGACTATGCGTTAATCAGGCCATCATGTCTGTCCGGAGGGAAAAGGGTGTTGCCCCATTTGCCCTCTCCTCTCTGGAAAGAAAGATGGTGGCCACATGGGAGCCTTGTGGACAGCAGGTATGAACCGGGAGTGTGGGGGCGACTAAAACCTCATGGGAAGGGGGGCGTTTCGGTCCGCCTTTCACGCCCTACCGAGGCCACCAGTTGCCCCCACGAGTGGCTCTCCAGCATGGCCACGACTCCAGAACACAGAAACCAATTTCTTAACTATCTGACTTTCAGTAGAAATACTTCCAGGGTCAATAGGTAAAATAGCAGAAATCCAAAACCAACATTTAATTCTTGAACCCAGCTGTAGAAAGCAAACCACTTCACAATGCTTTTTCAGCATGTCTGATTTGGGGGGGTGGTAAACTCTAAATAATAGTGGTGAATCTTTTATTGAAACAATGACTCTAATCAAAGCAGATAGAGTGTTAACTAGAATTCATCTGCCTCACAGGGACGGGGAGGGGTGGGGGGTGGGGTTTTATTGGGGTTCTTCATGGTAAAAAACAAGTATTGGTAAAGGGAAATGTGTTTGATATTTGCATTTGCATGACTGAGACCTAAATCTGAAAGCTTTGTAACCTTTCCCACAGTGATTCAATAAATAAATAAATTAAAAAAATAAATAAAAAGAAAAAAAAGAAAAAAAAAGAAAAGGAGCTTGGAAGTAAATAGAAATGACTCAAAAGCAGGCTCTATGAGGTAGAGTAATAGCAACCAGAGATCTTTCATCTATAAAGAAAAAGGCTGAGGTATTTTTGTGACTATAGATCTCATTTTTATTATGAAAAATTTTGGTGAAGTCTTTATTGGCAATTTTTAATAATCTGGCAAGCTTTCTGAATATCTTGCAATTTTTACGAGAGGTGGTTGAGGCAACGTATCAACACCTTGAAGTTCAATAGCTCCCAGACATAATAGGTAATTCTCCCGTCAGTATTAGCACCAGTTGAAGTAGGTTCTACAGCTCTGCGGTGGCATTAAATTGATTGTGGTTTGTCTTCTCTCTTGGCTACCACTTGTTTAATAGCGTATCAATTTATGAATAAAACAAGTTAAAGGTGGTGGGAAGAAGAATGATGGTAATGAGGTAATGATAGTAATGATAAAAGTAAAGAAGAAGGATGATAATAAGGTAATCATAGTATGATAGATACATAGAAGATAGAATATAGTAATGAGTAAAAAAACTAGATTGATGATGAGAATGGTTAATCCCCAGTTTAGATGGTTTCTCATACATATATGCTGAAATGATAGTGGATATTCTGCTTTTTGGGTCACACCTGGTGATACACAGGGGATACTCCTGGTTCTGCACTCAGGAATTACTCCTGGCTTTGCTCAGGGGACCATATGGGATGTTGGGAATCAAAATCTGGTCGGCTGTATGCAAGGTAAATGCTCTACCTGCTGTGTTATTGCTCCAGTCCCAGTACTGGATATTCTGAAGATTAGTATTTGGGTTTTTATAATAGGATCAGTTTGGAGTCTTGCTAAAACAATATACATATATTTTGACACTCTGTTTCAGAAAGAAGACATGCTTGCAACACCTCCCAGGTTGAGGATCTGCTCCCATTTATGCCAAATGACCTACAACATCATGCGGATGGAAGAATGGAGGTGAGATTTAGTCCAAATCTATGTAAATGAACAAGACTCCCAGGTTGGTTCAGTGATCAAAGCACAGGTGTTAAAAATTCATACCTGTCCATCAGTTCCGATGCTGCCTCCACAGTCGGTGAGAAGTTCTGACATGTCATAGTAGCTGACAAACTCCCACAGACAGGCTTCTAGGTTCAGGTTTCGGTAAAAGCGCAAGGTGCTGGAACCTCGGACAGAAGAGCTGTACTGGTAAGGATAGGTCTCTCCAATTATCTCTGGGTTTTTCGTAGCATCAGTCAAGAAACCGTGGTGGGTCTTCACCTCAGTGTAATCCAGGAGGTTAGAACACTTGTGGTTTCCTACTCTTGTGCCATCAGGGCTGAGTGTCAGTTCAAAGTTGGAAAGTTCTTTAGTAGAAATCACAGGAAGCATGCCTAGGGGAAATGGAAACCATTGTACCATTCTCACCAACAACAAAGGCTGAAGGATACTGTTACTTATTTGTAAAGGCAGCTGTTAGAAGATAGGGCACTTCACAGTCTACCAAAGCATTGTTTCAACTCAGATTTTTTTCAGGAGCTCTGACATTAAAGCTGTTTTTATAGTGGTACTAGATGCCATTTGACTTTTTTTCCTCCTTATTTTCTCAATTTTTCCGAGATTACAATATTGTATATTACAACAAGATTGGTTCCAGAAGCAGACATAAAAATCTCACAGTGTAAAGACAGTCTTCATGTATTAATGTAGAGCAATGCTGTTCTCCATTCTCTTCATTCTTTTTTTTCTTATAAATTATGGTTTTTTTAATAAAGTATGTTTTTGTGATAATATGCATTAAATTTATTCTTATTAAAAGAATGAGTAAATATTTAAAAATTCCTTAATTTTATTTAAAATCCAATAAATATTTATAGACACAACTCAAAAAATAAATGAGGCTCCAAATATAGCATAACACGGGTCCCATGTTTGACCATTTTATCTTTAGATTCATGGTGGAGGTGAGGCTTAGAGGTGCTCAGAACTGAGGAGAAAACCATTGGGAAAAACAAACCCAATTTTGAGATTCCCAATATTAAGATTCCCAATATTAAGAGTGACCCTAAGATTAAAATGTTTAATTTTTAATTTTTTTTTTTTGCTTTTTTTGGTCACACCTGGTGATGCTCAGGGATTACTCCTGGCCCTGCACTCTGGAATTACTCCTGGAGGCTCTCGGGAGACCATATGGGATGCTGGGAGTCGAACCTGGGTCAGTCGCATGCAAGGCAAACACCCTACTTGCTGTGCTATCGCTCCAGCACCAAGATGAAAATGTTTAAAAACTATCATCATACAATATAGGCTAAGGGGTGAAAAACTTATATAAATAGTTTACCATCTGTGGGGCCATATTGTGTCAACTAGCCAATGATGACATTGTAGAGAGAAAGCTACTAGTAATAAGAGTAAAGAGATGAACATAATTGTGTGCAATAGATTTTGTCATGAATAATGAGTTAGGATTTCATGTGTCACAAAATATTTCTTTTCTTCCAACTTTTAAAATTGCAAGAATAGGGCCACAAAGATAGTATAGCAGTTAGGGCACTTGCCTTGAATGTGGCGAACCCAGATTCATTCCCTGGCATCCCATATGGTCCTCAGAGCCTGCCAGGAGTGATTACTGAGTGCAGAACCAGGAGTAAGCCTGAGCATCACCAAGTGTGACACTAAATTACAAACAGACAATTCCTTACCTGACCCCCCCCTGCACACACCCACACCCCACATACAGACACAAAAAGAAAACCTTGCAAGAGTCATTCTTAGCTATAAGACAATAGGTCTATCTATAGCTCACACTTTGTGGAATCCTGGCATAAATAAATGTAAGGAAAAAACTAGGAAAGAAATTTTCTTGAAACGTTCTCCCTCTCAGGTTCTTCCATGGAAATCCTCTGGCCCCTGAATGAGAAGATCAGCTCTCCCTTCAAACACAACTATTGCTAGTGAGCAATCCAGAAAATCCAAACCCCAGCCTTTAAAGTGACAGGGTCACCAGTCTTTCTTTGAGGAAGAATTGTTTTGTTTTTCGAGATGGATTTCTCCTCAGTTCTGAGCATCTCTAAGTCTTACATCTGCCCTGAATCTGGAGAAGAAATGGCCAAATACAGGATCAGTGTTATGTTAAGGTAGAGGTTTCTGTCTATCTGCCTCTCAGCAACACGAACTAGGGTTTGTAATAAGCAGGCAAGCATAACTGAATCCTTTTCTGAGGGCGATAATTATAACTTATAGTTTCCAATGTTTTCTTTCTCTAAGATACTTAAAATGTAAGTAACATCAGGTGATAAAATGAACATGAACAATTTAGTTGGAGCATAAAGTGAATGAAGAAGACTAGAACTCGAAAGTTCTTCTGTACATGGGGACATGTTCAGAAAATGTAGGTAAGGTTATTGAAACACAAATTCTGGCCACTGGATCAAGCAGAGAAAATGAAAGCCAACTATAATGCTGTTAGTCATGTTTTTGATTTATTTAAATTCCCACGGAATGCTGTAGTTTATTGCAGTACATGTTGGTAGAGTTTTCAAAGAGCAAATACGTATTGAAAGTAAGCTTTGACACATAAAAATGCTTAACTTTAAGTTCAAATTCAAACATTTTGAAGACACATTTGTGCTATGTCACAAAATCTAAACACAATGAACAAATTCTTGTTTACTCTCTTTGGTCATGTACTAAATTTATTCTCTTCAAAATAATATATCAATTGTCAGACTTTAAAAGTGGGTAGAAAGAAAGCAGAAACACTTGGAAAAGCAGAAACCTGAAGTTTAAGTTGCAAATGTAGCACTCCATGTCTGCTGGGAGACTTGGAATGCCCATCAAAATATACTGAGTACTGAACCTAGACCACAGCCCAGCTTTGCTTACCCAAGTCACCTACCATCTATGTGTGGCATTGTGACGGTGAGCTTAATTAGGTTCGTGTACTCCGAGTCCTCAGGACCTGTGTAGCGTAGTTTAGCTGAGAATGGCTCTGCTCCCACAATTCCTGGCATCCGGGGCTGACAAAGACCTTAAGGGGAAAACGAACACATTGAAGCCACAAAAGATGATAATAGGAAATACGCAAAGACAATTTTGTGGTGGGGGGTGAAGAGGGATGGGCAACCTGGCAATGCCCATGGCTTACCTCCTGACTCTGCATCCAGACATCATGCCTCAAAGTTCTCAGAGTACCATATGGGATGCCCGGGATCTAACCTGGGTCGGCTGTGTGCAAGGCAAGCACGCTACCCATTTTACTACCTCTCGGCCCCCCAAGACTCATTTTTAAACATAAACGCTACTATTGTTCTATTCATATTAAATTCTTTGTGGACCATGGTATAGTTGACAGAGGAAAGTATATGGAGGCAACAGACTATGGTGTGGAAATAGCACTGCACTGTACTGCACTGTCCTCCCGTTGTTCATTGACTTGCTTGAGCAGGTCCAGTAATGTCTCCATTGTGAGACTTGTTGTTACTGTGTTTGGCATATTGAATATGCCACAGGGAGCTTGCTAGGCTTTGCCATGCGAGCAAGATACTCTCGGTAGCTTGCCAGGCTCTCCGAGAGGGGAGGAGGAATCGAACCTGGCTCTGCCAGGCTGGGTCGCACTCAAGGCAAATGTCCTACGGCTGTGCTATCGTTCCAGCCCATAGTGTGGAAATAAGCACAGAAACTGCAGAATGACTACTTACTTTCTTTTGGTTTGTTTTGGGGCCCTGCCCTTAGTATCCTGGGCTTACTCTTGACTCTGCACTCAGGAATCACTCCTGAAGAAGCTTGGAGGACCACACCAGGTGCCAAGAATTAAACTGCGGTCCGCTGTGTATAAGGCCAGTGCCTTAACTTCTGTCTTTCAGGTTTCTCGTAGTGGCTATTTATTAACACTGATGTTTTTCCTAAAGTTTTCTATAGTTCTCTAAATATGTCCCATCTCTCTATGCTTTCATATTGATTGGTATTTTTTTTTCTCTGCTGTTTTTAAGATTCAGCTTAAGCTATGGTTTAATGATAGTTTAAGGACTGTAGAGATAGTACAGGGGTAAAAGTGATTGCTTTTCCTTCTTCTAGCACAGGCTTAAACCCTAGCACCAGTGGAGTTCATGCACAATTCAATCAGCTAATCAGTGGCTGAATAAATAGCACTATTCCTACATAAAAAAAAAAAACCTAGCACACATACATTAGGACTTCAGGACTGATCCCTGAGTACAGTCAAGTAAAGTCAAGAATAGACAAGTACAGTCAAATGTGGCCCAACTCCCTTGACTACCTCACACACTAAATAATAATTTAAGTTGAAGATATATTTAGATAGTCACTACTGCTTTTACATTTCTCTTCTTTGCCAAGATAAAACTTTGCATATGTCTCAACTAGAGTATCGAATTCTTGAGGAAAGGACTTTTGCCTTACTGCCTTATTTGTATTACTCTAGCAAAACAGTCGCATACATATGCCATGTAGTGTATTTGATTTCTAAAGAATATTTAAGATACATATATATATATATATATAGAGAGAGAGAGAGAGAGAGAGACAGAGAGAGAGAGAGAGAGCCTTTTGGGCCACATCTGGACATGAAAGGCTTAGTCCTTCTAAGTTCAAGGATCACTTCAGTGGGAACCATGTGTGGTACCATGGGTCAAACCTGGGTCAGCTGTGTGCAAGACCCTACCTACTGTAGTACTGTTCCTGCCTTAGATTTGTTTTGTTTTTTATTTTTAGGACACATCCGGTCGTGATCAGAGCTTATTCCTGGCTTTTCTTTCAGGAATTACTTCTGGAATGCTTTGGGGACCATATGGGATGCTGGGGATCAAACCTGGATCTGCTGCATGTAAAGCAAGCACCCAACCTGCTGTACTATTGCGCTGACCACTAGATTTTTATTTGTAAGTACTTGTGGAATATGGGCTGGAGTGATAACACAGCGGTAGGGCATTTGCCTTACGCGCAGCCAGCCCGGCCAGGTTCGATTCTTCCGCACCTCTTGGAGAGGCTGGCAAACTACCGAGAGTATCTCGCCTGCACGGCAAAGCCTGGCAAGCTACCCACGACATATTCAATATGCCAAACACAGTAACAACAAATCTCAAAAAAATGGAGATGTTACTGGGCCCGCTCAAGCAAATCGATGAACAATAGGAGGACAGTGTTTGTTTTTTTTTTGACAGTATGGAATATGTGGAGTATTTGAGAGAGTGAGTAAACAAAAATCAAGCATTTATGATATTCCCTGATATATTCCAGTGCCCAGTACATAAAAAGGGAAATGCATTACCTTCTTCTCTGCCAATCGTTACAATAGGGCTCATCAGCTCTAGACCTTCATTGCCATCAGCGTTCACTGCACGAGCTGCACACTGCACCCTGGAGCCGGGCTGGAAGTATATGGAGTCTAGTGTGATCATCTTGGATGATGTAAAGAAGGTGTCAAAGTCAACTTCTCTCATGGGGCTGGTCACGCCATCAGGCCCAGCTGGTGCGCTGATCAACCATCGGTATCGGGTCAAAGTGTCATTGATGTTTTCACTTGCACATATGGAACCTGTTTTGTCAAAGTCTGAATATTTTGGGTTGCAAGCCTATGGAAAACAAATAATTCTATTAGAGCCACAATACAAAACCATGAAGAAATTATCCCTTTCTAGTGTTTTCATTGCTATTTTTTCAACACCTGTATGCTATTTACAAAACAAAAAAATATATTTTTTATTCCTACTTAAAAGCTTTTTTTATTAAATATAATTTTATTTTTATAAAGTTGTTCACAATAATTCATTACATTTAATATTCAAACACCTATCTCACCACCTTTGCACCTTCTCACCAACACAAGAGGAAAATGAGTGGAGATTGTTGCCGTCATGCTTTATTCCTACTTCTGACAGCTTTCAGGAACTCTCATCTTGCATTTCAATCAGTTAATTGGCTATTTCCACCTCTAGTTCGATACAACTAACATTGTTTTTCCTGCCATCTGCTGTTGAGTCCTCCCTCTTTTTTTCTTTCCCCCTCATTTCTTCTCTCCCTTTGCCTCCACATCCACAAGGTAAAGCTTGCTTGATTCTTCCTCTGTGCTCTTTCTTAAGTCAGTCAGACTCTTCCTTAACCATTTCCACCACCTCTTTTCAATCTATTACAGGACTGTTGCCTAAGTAGCCCTCAAATGTAATTCCCTGCATGTATTCTTCTTTCAAAGAACTACCTGATACCCAACAAATGAGAACCATTCCTTACTATATCCTCTATGATGTGGGGTGGGAATCTGGGAACATTGGTAGTGGGAAATGTACACTGGTTAAGGGATGAGTGTTGGAACACTGTATGACTAAAACCCAATCATGGACAACTTTTTAAATGTGTAGCTCCTGGTGATTAAACAAAACAAATATATAAACAAAACAAAACATAAAAAATAAAAATAAATGTTTCCATCGTTTCAACCCAGTTGAAACTTGACATCAAATAATCATTTCTATTTATTTAATTCAATAAGCAGTTATTATATACCTGTTATAGGTAGGTCATTTACCAGGGATCTTCCGGTAGAAAAAGAAATACTTGGCAATTTTTGGTCACCAGGCTCTTATTATATAGAGCTAAGAAAAGGCAAGTAAAAACTCTTCCTCACATACCATTTATGAAGCCATTTCTCTAGATACAGCTTGTCTTATTATCACTTTGACCACCCTCAACCTTTCTTACCATAAGGCTGTGACTCAAGCTCCTAGTTCTGTATCATTCTTAGAATAATGGTCATATCTTGCTTTTTAGCAGAGTAACTGATTCTTACATATTTCCCCTCATTATTTATACATTCCTTCAGTCCAGGCACACCTTAATTTTCTACTAGTGACTGTTTCTGAGATATCAGGAAATAGCGCACTATGTGCACAGCAGTTAGTAAGCCTCTGAAGGGTGGAGAAGAAAAAATAAGGGCCATATGTCATTAATGTATTAAATTTTCCTTTCCAAGTTTCAAAACATCAACTTTGCACCATTTGCCTACTTACATTTCCTCGTTGCCAAGCTGAAAATATATGGGTTAATGTTCAAAAATATTTTAATAAATAATTTGGTAATCTTCCCAAATTTTATCCATTTTCCACTCACTGTGATACAGACAACAGGGTAGCCAGACACAGGTCCAGCACTCTCTTTGGCCCTGGAAGTGTCATCATATATCAGTAAGGACGCAATTTGAGGAACAGAAGGAAAAGTGACATCTGCCATGCTGTTCATTTCTTCTATATACACAATGGCTTTGGTGACCTAGACAAAAAAATATCACAACAATGGGAATATTAGCTCTTGGTGCCTCTATTGCGCAGAGTAAAATTCACTATGCTCGGCAAGTCCATGCCTTCATGGGGCTAAGGATCTCATGCCAAAGCCCTATGAGCACTTTGCTTCACAGGATCCTGGTGTCTTGGTCAAACTTTTGGTCTCAGTATTGGGCACTTGCGGCTGCCACAGGTGGAGGGTGGGGTAGGGGGTAGGTCCATAAAGCATCTAGACTCTAATTGTTTTCCTTCAAATTTTGATAATCATAGCCAAATTTTATTTGTGCTTATAAAGTAAAGATCCATGAGAAAGACAAGTAGTTGCTAGTGGGAGAAGTGGAGAGACACCCCAAGAGAAAGCATCTCTGAGTGACTCCTTGGTGGTGTGGGCTCTGTGAAAGTGGATGTCGGGGAAAAGCCAAATGTGATATGAGTAGAGACTGGAAGTACGACCTGAAATTCAGGCAAAAGGAAGTGGCTCAGTTCCAAGCCCACGTGAAATCTGTAAACATCTGCTGGTAAGGGACAAGAGCACCTTGTCAATAAATTTGCTTTAGTTCCTAAGTAACCTTGCAGTATTCAATCATGCATTACAAAGTCCAAGATTCTATTTACATCATGGCTCTTACTGAAAGTGATTTAAGTGAAACTTAAAAAAAAGTTATCTTCTTTCCCCCTTGCCGCCTGCTGGTGCTAATCTTAGGAAAAGGACTTAGATGCATGCTTGGTTATGGTATTTGCCCTTTCTGACTAGATGCTGTTGGGGGCTTCACTCCTTTATTTATTTATTTATTTGTTTGTTTTGTCTTATGGGTCACATTCAGTGATGCTCAGGGTACACTCCAACCTCTATTCTCGGAGATCACTCTGGAAGGCTCAGGGGGCCCTATGGGGAGCTGATATCCAATCCATGTTGACCACATGCAAAGCAAGTGCTCTACCTTATGTACTATTGCACAAGCCCCTTGCGCTGCAGTGACTGTCCATGTCCTCACTAGGGTTCACACTCCAGGCTGTGTTTTTCACATAACTTTTCAATTGAGGTGCTCACCAGGGTCTTACAACACAATTGTGATGCTAGCACTCAACTGGTCTTAGTTTGACTGGAAAGTTGTGATGACATTGGGAACCTCAGGTAGCAGAGCTGCTGGCATCATACTCAGCATAGGTGGCAGTGTCAGGGATTGAACTTGTGACCTCATGCTTGCAAGACAGGTATTAAGTCACAGAACCATCTTTTGGACTCTAAATGTCTGTACTTCCCATTCATGAGTTTAGTAGGATCTTCATAAAGTAATAATAAAAATATTCATGTAATCAGGAATAATTAAAATGTAGCTTAAAGTGTTTTTATGCCCATATTTCTTGAGTTTTACATAGTGGCAGGGCTCAAACTCAGGGTCTTGTACATGCAAAGCATACACTTTGCCACTCACTCACATGTTTCACCCAGACTTGAATTTGGAGTGTGATATTTTTACATAGCAGGCAATATGGCATAAATACCACACAGTACTAGAGATGAAAAAAATATAAAGATTATTTAAGAGAAACCTATTTACTTTGAACTAATAACAGCAGAAATAGGATAATCATAAGCATGTTTATTGTAAACATTCTGTTTACAATAAACATTTGTTTAAAATCTATTTAAGATATACTCCTAATAAATATTAGTTGAAAAATAATTTAGTTGCAAAGGTAAGAATTCTGTGGAAATAACTTTAATATTGGATGGCTAATGGTTCAATAATAATTAAAGAGGTTCAGAAAACAAATCTAGAATAGCAATATTTTGGCCACTAGGGCTCTGGATATGAATTTGAAAATGCTAGTATTTTCAGGGTGTTTGCCTTGCACACAGCCAGCCCAGCCGAGCCGGGTTCGATTCCTCCGCCACTCTCGGAGAGCCAGGCAAGCTACCGAGAATATCTCGCCCACACGGCAAAGCCTGGCAAGCTACCCCTGACGTATTCAATATGCCAAACACAGTAACAATAAGTCTCAAAATGGAGATGTTACTGGGTCTGCTCGAGCAAATAGATGAACAACGGGAAGACAGACAGACTGACAGACAGAGGTTAGCAAATTTTCTGATGGATTTAAATTTTTTTTTTTTAAAAAATGGGTTTTGCACTGAATTAAGGATCTCTTTTTTTGTGTTGAGATATCCTTTCTCTCTGGAGGTAAATACCCAATTCAGTTTTTAGTGATTGGAATGGAAAAGGAAAGTGAATCAGTAAAGATTGGATTCAAACATTCTAATTCCTGAAAACCAGTATGCATGATTTTTCAAAGAAAGAGAGACAATTCTTGATTGCTATCTTATTGGAACCAAATTTATCCTAGAAGTGAAAAAGGATTATCTAATTTAATTTAATTTATTATTCTTATTACTCTTATTTGGTTCCGGTGTCACACCTGGCTCTTCTCAGGTCTGACTCCAGGCTCGTGTTCAAGCAACACTCCTGGCAGTGCTAGAGGGATCATATGTGGTGCCAGAGGTAAAACCCAGATCAGCCAGGTACAAGGCAAGCAACCTACCTACTGTACTATCTCTCCAGCCTCTGCACATCTCTTTTATATAAGATTTCCACAAAATCCCATCACTTTGCTGCCCAGTCTATGATGCTTCTCTGTTTTTTTTTCCCTGACAAATTTATAGCCATAAGTTTATGTCCGATTTTATTACTTACCTGAGTCTCTGCTATCATATTTTCATCAGGTTTTAGGTGAACAGTGAAGGCCTCTCTCATCTCTCTTATCCCATCGAAAAGTATTTCAATTTCAACAAAATGCTGGGTATCTCCCTCCTTAAACTCGATTTCTACAAATGCAAAATCACAACTTGAAGTGTTTCTTATATGGATGTAAAAAGTTTCTACTGTTCTTACAGTGAAACACAATTAGAGAGAGACAGAAAGAGACAGAGACAGAGACAGAGGAGAAAGGGGAATAGGAAGAAGAGGAAGTTGCTTTCATTACTCTCATGAAAGTAAGTGGTTCAAAATTCTGAAGAAGAATGGATGAAAGACCTCCATAATGGGCTTCTGAGGCTTCAAGTAATTCACGTCTCTATGACTGGTTTTATTTTCACTGCCCATCATTAACAAAAAATTTCCAGTTAGAAGTTTTGGATTGTTGACAGTTTATAAACAAAAAATAGACTATTTTCTTGAGGACATGGTTATTTCCAGTGCAATGGAATATTCTAGGAAAGTCTTTCTTAAACATATGATTACGATAATGAAGATGAAACCCATCAAAAGCTACAGTTGGTTCAACAGGGGCAGCCATCTGGCACAGTTACTAAAAATTTCTCTGAGTCCTAACGCATAAGCACTGTAAGTCAAGAAGGAAAACCAGAAATAAAGTCCGTTGACTTCTCTGAAGACTAATTTGAAGGAGTTCATTTATTTTTACTTCAGTTGGCATTTTCCTTTCTCTCAGAGGTGCGGGCATTCAAACAGTGCCAGTAGAAACCCTGCAGCTAGAGAGAAGCCCCTTCGTACCTTCTGACACAGGGTGGTAGTCTTCTCCTGAGGTGGCCGAGCCATCCTTGGTGTGCACTCGCACAACAGAAACCTTTGAGGTGTCGCCTTGTCGAATCACTGGAATTCTTATAACCACTGACTGTCCAGCTTCTTTGGGTTCACTGACACTAAATTTGGTCTCTCCAAATTTAATAATTGTTCCTGAAATGGTAGGAAATGTGGATGAATTGAATTGGAAGAGAAACACTTTTACTTCTTTCTCTTTTTTTGTTTTTATTTTCAGGCTACTCCTGATGGTACTCAGTATTTTTTCAGTATTTGTTTATCCCTGACTCTGACTCGGTGCAGAGGATCACCTCTAGTGGTGCTTGGAGGATCTTATGGGGTGCTCGGGATTGAACCTGGTTGACTGAATGCAAGACAAGTGCCTTTCCTATTTGTTCTATCTATTGCTCCAGCCATTTTACTCCAAATCTGAAGCTTCTTTCCAAAGTGGACGGCGTTAATTCTTATTTCTGTATACTCCTGATTTCTTCCTTTCTTTTTCCTTTACTTAAAAACCATGGTTTAGTAAATTTTTCACAATACAGTTGTTACAGGCTTTTAATGTTTCAGACACCAATCCCACCACCTGAGTGCACTTTTTCCAACATTGTTTCCATTTTCCCAACCAACCCCAAGCCTGAGCTCTTAGCAAGCACAAAATTTGTTTTATAATGCTTGTTACAACTAAATGGCTAAAGGGATCTAAAAAAATTAAAACAAAAACAAAAAACACTATCCTCCCGTTGTTTATCCATTTGCTCCAGCGGGCCCAGTAACGTCTCCATTGTGAGATTTCTTGTTACTGTGTTTGGCATATTGAATACTCTCGGTAGCTTGCCAGGCTTTCCAAGAGGGGCGGAGGAATCGAACCCGGCTCAGCCGGGCTGGCTGCGTGCAAGGCAAACGCCCTACCGCTGTGCCCCCCCCCCAAAAAAAAATTATCCAGTAAAAAAAATTTGAGAAAGCTGTTATGTCTCTATACGTTCCTGATTTCTGGTTTCTTACCCAATATCATGAGTGAGCGTATTAAGAGAAACTGAACAATTGTGGCCCATCTCCATCCTCTCTGGGCTCTTTCTATGTGCTGTAAATATTGTAGAAGCAGCCCACTGAGAGGGGGAAGGGAGAAATGAAACTGTTTTTCAGCACCAACCTATTCCCAAATATAAACCATAGCCTCCAGCACCAACTTTGAAATGGTTTATTTCATTCTCCATCTAAGTTAGTCTTTTCCCTAGTTTCAATCATCATTAAGGCCCGGTTAGAAAGAGGATTAATTTCTGAACCACCTTAACTTTTAGCATAGGTGGATTCAGTTCCCAGTGGAAGGTTGTGCATAAGAAATGACTGTGAATTCTTACTGTCAGCATCATCTCGTATCCTTATCAGAGTTTCATTTTGTTCACCAACCGCAGCCCCAAAAGGAGAGTTGCTTTGTGGGGTGCCAAGAACCAGACGGAGCTCTTCCTCTTCCTCATACAGTACATCATTCATCAATTCAAGTATACAAGGCTTTTCTGTCTCACCTGCACCAATAATAATGACAGCAGGTGAATCCCAGCCCACAGCTCCAAACAAGAGCACAGACCCGTAAACCGAACATGAACACCACAAGGGCAGAGACGCCCCTCCTTGATCAATTAGTAGTGCAAAGGACATTGAAAAGCCTTGGGTGAATAATGCTGAGGGAATGACTACATGCAATAGCATATTAAATGACAAGATGCTAATTGTATAGGAAAAAATAGTTTAAATGAGGTTAACTGTACAGGGAATTTCCTGAACGTTTGTCTTTAAATTCTTTTTTTATCATTTTAGAGAGCAAGATCAATTGTCAATTTTGTTTACGACTTTCTAGCAATCTTGTACATGTTGGTCATTATTTGATCACAGTGCTAATTTCTGGTGCAATACCTGGATCAGAGTGATTATACATTTTAAGGCTCTGGAAACACAGTATGACATCAATTGCCTTTCGTTCCTACTCATTTGAATATCAAGCAAATCCCAACACTGTGAAATGTATACACACATTCTATATTCTATATTCATTGAGTAAGACTTGAATGAACAATATACCCCAAAGCTGTAAACTAATCATTAAACTTACACTAAAAGCAAAAGGGGATTTATTCAACTACTTCATTAATCTATGTCACCTTATTATCATTCAGTCCACAAGAAGTTATCATAAGCTTGTTGAAATCAAGAATTTGTATTTATCTGATACATATCTATATCTATATGTATTATCTTTATCTATATCTTCCTCAAACCTTGGCTTCTTCAAATTCCAAATACAATTTTCAAGCTACAGCTTACCAGGGAGAAAGGTGATAACAGAGAGGTCTGTGTTTGGGCGCTCTTCAAAGTCCATCATTACTTGGGCAGATCCCTGTCGTGTGTAGCATCTCACTGAAGATCTGTAGTAGATATCTCCACTCCTGTGGATCATTGCAACTATTTGTCCATCATTTTCATTGCCAGTATATACTCGTTCTTTGAACTGCATCTTAGGCACTGCAAAAACAAACATAGCGATCAAAATGAACATATATTTGGTTTGTTTAAAAAAAGTGGAACACCAGAAAACAGATCAATAAGACAGAAGTAAGGATTGGATCCCAGTATTCGTTCAGCCTTGTCAAAGTTTTGACCTAGAGCAAATCACTTAAGTCTGTTTTGATTTCTTTAGTTTTGAAATTTTGCTGTATTTGAAGTAGGATACCAAAAACATGGTAAAAACTGACTTTGAAAGAAAGAAATTTCCCACAAAAGCAAACTATCATAATGCCAATAGAATTTGTATCTATGCAATAACAGGGAAAGAAAGTTCCTGACACTCTGATGCTGGTCGTGGTAAACTAACATTGTAAGGAGAAAGAAATAATTTGAAAATTGAAGCAAATCATTTTAGCAAAAATTCAAAATAAAACAAACTGGAAATTTTGAGATAACTGTATTTAAATAAGATACTTAATGATATTTTAAAGAATTCATTGATATAATAAAAATAGTATGTGTGTAATTATTCAGATCATCTTGAAAAATTTGATGATGGTAGGTTGTTTGTGTATATATTAATTTGTAGGTGACACCTATGCTAGGTGAATTAGATACAGGCCTCATTGAAAACAGGTAGGTGCATCCAAGTAACATAAAGATCATCATGCTCGAAGATTATTAGGAATTTCCCTGTACTAATGAACCCAGTATTTTGCCACATGTCCAGTGACTGACTATCTCAAACAAAGTTTTTGGCATCTTATTAGAGAAATTTCCAGTGTCTGACTGTAAGAAGGTGAAAGAAAGTGTCATGTGGCAACTCAGAAACAGTTCGCCGGCACTCAAGTCTTTGCAATCCTGTGTGAAGCTCCAGACCTGTACAAGGAAATTAGTAGAAGAAATCAACTGAAAGATGTGAGAATTGATGAAAATCTCACTGTGTGTGAGAGAGAGAGAGAAGGAGAGAGAGAGAGAGAGAGACAGACAGACAGACAGAGACAGAGAGAGAAAGAGAGAAACAGAGAGTAAGGAAGTTATGTTAGTTAAGCATGGTTATACAACCTTTCCAAATCCACAGGTTGAAGTCCTAACATTTTAGTACTTGAAAGAAAGATACTTTATTTAGAGACAGGGGGCCAGATGGCACAAGGATCTTTCCTTGCATGTAGTTGACATCATATGGTCATATGGTATCCTGAGCACTTCCAAGGATCACTCCTGAGCACAGAGCCAAGAATAATCAACTCCTGAATGCTGTGCAGTGTGGCCCAAACCACACTACCCCCTAAAAATTAAAGACAAACTTTTTATAGAGGCAATCAAATAAAAATCTTTAGATTCAACACTATGTCTTCATAAAAAGGGAGAATTTTGGCCATGGAGATAAATAGAAAAGATGATGTAGAAAAACATGGGGAGAAAATGAATTCTAATGGCAATAACAGAGAGATGGAATAGAGGATCCCCCACAGCTCATGGAAGGAAACACTCAACAGGCAACTCATTAAACGCCTAGCTTCTAGAACTGTGAGACAAAATGTGTCTGAATCTGTAGTGCTTTGTGATAGGAATCTTAACAAATGTATTCTAAACATTGAATTAACATGTGTATATTTAATTAACATTTGTAGAGACCCTGACCTCTAATTCTGCTTATCATTGTGAAGGAACGGAATACTCACAATCAGAGACAGAGTCCTTTATGAACACCGTGGCTTTGCTGGGTTCGCCCAGGGCAGCGCTCATTGGCATACGAAGCACCAGTTCGAATTTCTCAATTCCCTCCAGCACTGGCTGTCCAAGATCATCCAGAATGATAACACGAACAGTCTGCATGTTGACTCCAGGAGCAAAATCTAAATTACGACTGATTCCCACATAGTCTGTTCCAGCTATGGCAATAACCAAAGAATCATTTAGTTGGGGACTGGCTATATTGAAACTAAATTATGAAAAGTAAACGATGTATATTTACATTGGTTTAAAAACATAGACCAGGACAGCTTGACAGAAAAGTATCTTTAATGAAATGTAAAATTTATTGATTATTGCTATGATGGGTTTTAAATTTTGTTTGACATACATCCAACGAATTATTTCACTTTTCATTCTTTCAGATTTTTGTAATTTCTCCAATTTTATTTTTGATTTCTCAAATGGTGCTAATAAAAAATAGGTCTCAAATAATGAACATTCTGGAGCCAGAATGATAGTACAGTGGGCAGGGTGTTTGCCTCGCCTGTGGCTAATCCAGGTTTGATCCCAAGCACCCCACATGATTTCCCAAGTTCCCCAAGAGTGTCTCCCGAGTGCAGAGCAAGTAATAAGTCCTGAGCACCACCATCATGACCCAAAAACAGAAAAAGAAAATTCCAATCATCAATATGACAATTATAATTGTATGGCAAAATATACATATGGAGAATTTTAAACATTAGTGAACTATATTATTTTCAGAAAAGACTACAGAATATCCTATTTGGTTATATCATTGGTTGCCTGCTGGTTCCAGCAACATGTTTCAGATTGAAGCTTGTCCTACATGCTCTGCCCACTCTTTTTGCAAAGAAAGCAACCCATTATTTTCAAACACAAATTTATTTTTTGGTTTACTATTGATTAGACTAGGGGAACCAACCTAGTGTTCCCTGCCAGTTCTGTCTAAGGGTAGCCCAAAGGTAGTCCAAAACTGAAGTACTATAGATCTTTAGGTATTTTACCTGTGAAATCTGGGTTTGAGGGACAATCAGTCATTATCATTGCTTCATTATTTTGGTTTCTTGTCTATCTTTTTAGCTCTCCATTAACTTATCATTATGCAACTATGGGTGACCTGTCTTTCATTCATTTAAAATTTAATTAAAGCATCTATGTGTTTTTTTTCTCAATTCCCTCCAGCACTGGGTGTCCGACATTCTCACCCTCTGCTTCTCTGCATTATTTTTCTTCTCTCTCTCCCCCTGCATTAAATTTTTCTCATAACAATGAATAAATTTGGCTAGACAAATGCTTACTGGACATCTACTATGATGTATTGGTCCAACTACATTCTAAATTTTCAGCTATTGGCGACTTTTTTTTTTTTTTTTGCTTTTTGGATCACATCCGGCGATGCACAGGGGTTACTCCTGGCTCTGCACTCATGAGTTACTCCTGGAAGTACTCAGGGGACCATATGGGATGCTGGGAATCGAACCTGGGTTGGCCGAGTGCAAGGCAAACATGCTACCCGCTGTGATATCTCTCCAAGCCCCTATTGGTGACTTTTAAAATGCTTTGGATCCTTGCTTTGTGTGATGAATGTATGGTGTGTATATGAAGAATGCACATGCATGTGCATGCATGTGTGTTCATGAAAGAAAGTTTGTAATTCAGAAAATAAATGGGCATTTTCTAGTTCTATATTTTTCCTAAACTTTAGGAAAATTTGTTTTAGAGACTTCCAGAGTAAAAGGCAGGGATATACCAATTAGGACAGATTCTACAAAGAAGCCTGCAGAAAACTCTTTGGATTTGAAAAATATTTATCGGGGAAAATGGATAAAATGAAGCACAGAGAAGGTAGGATGAGCACCTGTATTCAATGTCAATAGCTTTCTGTGAGAGTGACTAGCATAATTATTTCATATAACTGTCATTCAGTTCAATGATGTTCAAAGAAGGATTGACCGTGTTCAGAGAACCAATTCATTCACATCTAGGCACTAGGACAGAGTTCCTCACTAGGTAGTTTAGCCTGTGATTTGTGCCTTGAAAGGCATTTTCATTGCAAGAAATAGGGTCTAGATTAATTTTATTTATTTATTTAGAAGAGGTAGGGGCCACACCCAGTGATGCTCAGTGAAAACTCCTTGGCTGTGCCCTGAGGACTATATAAAATGACAAGATTGAACCCAAATCAGCGGTATGCAAGGCAAGTGCCCTAGCCCACTGTATAATTGATTCAGTCCCCAGGGTCTAGATTCTTCTTTTTTTAAAATTTTTTATTAGTGAAACTCCATATGGTACAGTTGTTGACCTTACAAATTTTTGTGCTTGGGTTTCAGTTAAACAATGATTGAGTACCCATTTCTCCACCAGTGCCCATTCCCCACCTCCAATGCTCCCAGAACCCCTCCCACCCCCATCTCCCCCATCCCACCCCACTCCTGTGGCAGGGCATTCACTTTTGTTCTCTCTCTCCTTTTGGGTGCTGTGGTTTGCAAAAGAGGCATTGAGTGGCTATCATGTTCAGTCTATAGTCTATTTTCAGCATGCATCTCTCATCCTGGGAGGATCCTTCCAACACCCTTTACTTGGTGCTCCCCTCTCTATCTGAGCTGCCACTCCCTCAGCATGTGCGGCTGGCCTCCAAACCATGGAGTGAACTTCCTGGTACTTATCTTGGCTACTCTTGGGTGTTAGTCTCCCTATTTGTTACTTTATATTCCCCAGATGAATGCACTCTTTCTATGTCTGTCCCTCTCTTTCTGACTCATTTCGCTTAGCATGATATTTTCCATGTAGTACCACTTGTATGTAAATTTCATGACTTCATCTTTTCTAACAGCTGCATAGTACTCCATTGTGTAGATGTATCAAAGTTTCTTTAACCAGTCATCTGTTCTCAGGCACTTGGGTTTTTTCCAGAGTTTGGCTACTGTGAATAGTGCAGCAATGAACATAGAAGTGCAAATGTCATTTCGACTGTACTTTTTTACCTCACTGGGATATATTCCCAGGAGTGGTATTGCTGCGTCAAATGGGAGCTCAATTTCTAATTTTTTGAGAATCGTCCATACTGTTTTTCAAAAGGGCTGAACCAGTTGGCATTCCCACCAGCAGCGAAGGAGAGTCTCTTTCTTGCCACATCCACGCCAACACCAGTTGCTTTTATTCTTTTCGATGTGGGCCAGTGTCTGTGGTGTGAGATGATATTATATTGTTTTTTTTTTTTTTTTGCTTTTTAGGTCACACCCAGCGATGCTCAGGGGTTATTCCTGGCTCTGCACTCAGGAATTACTCCTGGCGGTGCTTGGGGGAACCATATGGGATGCCGGGGATCGAACCCAGGTCCAGCCGCGTCCAAGGCAAATGCCCTACCCACTGTGCTATCACTCCGGCCCCTTGTATTGTTGTTTTGATCCGCATCTCCGTGATGATTAGTATTGTAGAGCATTTTCTCATGTGCCTTTTAACCATTCGGATTTCTTCTTTGGGAAAGTTTCTGTTCATCACCCCATTTTTTGATGTAGTTAGATGTTTTCTTCTTGTAGAGTTCAACCAGTGCTTTGTATGTCCTTGATATGGGTCTGATTCTTATTTTGGAACAAAATATGGTCTAAATTTCCTATTTGATATTAACTATTTTGAGGGGGGAAAAACCCTATTTAAGCAGAGTGCTTTGTGGGAGTGAAATGCAGCATGCCGTGAGGACAGAGGCGGGAGGGATGGCTCACCTTCGGCAGAGGGTGGCTCGGTTTTCCGGGATCTCACCATGACGCTGGCAGCGCGGGACAGGTCGGTGCCAGTTCTCCAGACCTGCACTTCCACGTAGCCTGCGCTCTCATCCACCGCGTACTCCACATCTCCAAAGTAAAAGATAGGTTCTGTGAAAAAGAGCAAAGCAAAAATGTACCTTTTAGTACCTGTATTGCAAACCATCAAATCATAAAGGGGGAGGGGGAAAGAGAGACAGAGACAGAGAGACAGAATTAAGAGAGACAGAGAGACAGAGACAGAGAGAGTGTGTAGAGGGGATAGTGGCAGAAGGGAAACTGGAGGCCTTGGTGTTGGGAAACATGCACTGGTGTCTGGATGGGTGTCGGAACATTGTAAGACTGAAACCCAATCATGAATAATTTGTAACTGTGTATCATGGTGAATCAAAAACAATAACATTAAAAATAAGTACTGACTGATTTCAGAGGAGAGTTAACATTTCTAGCTTCATTTTAAGTCATTTTTAGTCATCCCTTTGTAGCAAGCTATCATCTCTTTAATCTGTAGATTCACCAAATTTTCAGGTTAAAACATCTCCTTTGAAAAAACCAATATACTTATGGAAAAGAAACCAGTTCTCATCACGTGATGTCAGAATTACATTGCCATTTGTATGTGGGGTTTATTAAATGTCTTGAAATGAATTTTTGAGAAGTTTAGTCGATAAAAATACAATCAAAATGAAAATGAAGCAAAACCACAGAAGACTGAACATTATGAGTTTGACTTTAAGATCTAGATTCTTATTTCTGTATGAAATAGGTTCTAAATTTTGTCTACCCAATAATAACTACTATTCATTTTATTATCTTTAAAGTAAGTCTTCATCCTTGAGAATATTTTTATAATGACACCTTCCTGACCATTCTATATGCTGTTAACTAGAAGTTTTGTTATGAGCACTGGAATAGGACTGATTGGTGTGGCTAGACTGACGATGCATGATTCCATTTCTGGAAACTTCATGGAAACCAGAATATCACTGAGGGTTACCTTCAGGCTGTGGAAATGCCCTAGAGCAATGGAAAGTTTCCAGTAGAGAAATCACCATATAAATAGTAGTTTACAAGAACAAGAGCCCCTGATCAGTGCTGGTGAGCACCTGTACAAATCCATTAATACTGAAACATTACAGGACATTATAGTAAAAGTATGTAGAGGTATATAGGGTATATGCTTTATCCAGTGTGAGTTTGTTTTATGAGCAACCACTAACAAAGATTACATTGAGTACATAACCATAAAAAGTCAAATGGGCCCTTAACTTGAGACATCATAGTCAGGCATCTGTGTCTGATTTTATAAGACTTAAAAGGACTGAGTCTCTAAAGTCATGCCTTTCACGTGAATGCCCCTTAAGACACAGGCCACTAAAGAGATGATGGCTATGCTTCAGAATATCTAATTCAGTCTTCACAATACAAAAATCAAGCAAAAAATGATCAGAGCCCATAATTCCAGCTTGTGTACTGCGCAAATTGAGTAAGAATTCTTTATTTTCCTGCTTAAATAAATTACCATTATTTAAGCTAGAAATTGTGTTTATTTGTGTGTATTATATCATTTTTTATGGAAGGCATAATAAAAATACATAGCCCACCTGAATTCTTCAATAATAAAAACCTCCAACCTTGGAGATTTTGTTTGAATATTTCATTTCACAGAGAAATAAATCAATCTGTAGCAAACATACTTAACCTCCTCCTCCTCCTTTCACCAGGGATGGCACCAGAGAACCTGAGTATATGTATACAGATGAAGGTGTTATCTTACAAACCTCAGTGAAGGCAAACCTCAGAGACAAACCAATAAATTCCTTACATTTCTCATGCTTAATCAGAGGGCAAAGGTAAAGACAGAGCCCTGAACATAAGTCCTTTAGTCAGATGTCTCAATCAGACACACCTGTATCACTGTCTTCCCCTTGTTCATCAATTTACTCAAGTGGGCACTAGTAAGGTCTCCATTGTGAGATTTGTTGTTACTGTGTTTGGCATATCGAATACGTCACGGGTAGCTTGCCAGGCTTTGCCATGCAGGCAGGAGATACTCTCGGTAGCTTTCCGGGCTCTTTGAGAGGGGTGGAGGAATCAAACCCGGGTAGGCCCAACACCCTACCCTCTGTGCTATCGCTCTAGCCTGACACACCTGTACATTTTTAAATATTTTTATTTTTCACATTGTTATTGTAATGAATTGGCCATTGGCATCCAACAAAAATCTAAGTCTTTTCACATCTCTGGTAAATCACATTATCTTACAAATGAGATTTCTGAGTTACAGGAGAAAGCTGTGAAATAAATAAAGGGAAGACCATGGAAGACCTCCTAGTTACTAATACTGCCTGTCTCATGTCCTAAGTCTTCATGATTGCATACGAAGTGGAACAGAATAAAATATGTGGGTGCACAGAACTGTTAAACACCAGACTATACATTAGAGACAAATAGCATTCTCTGTATATGCTCAGACCCATTCCAGCAACTGAATTGCAAGTTGTATATAGATGTATATAAGTATGAATTTTATGTAGTTTTACCCTGAAAATTTTTATCCAAGCTGTCATTTAGAAAAAAAGAGTAATGAGAATAGTCACTATGCATAGAACACATTATGCATGTGTCATATACTTGTGCTGTGTGTGTGTGAGAGAGAGAGAGAGACAGACAGACAGAGACAGAGACAGATAGAGAAAAGAAAGAGACAGAAAGAGAAAGAAAAGAGAGAGAGGAGAACATGGGCCTTATAGAAATGTTATAATTGAGCAATAGAAATTGTGCACACAATTCCACCTTATTGACAATTACGTAGTATATTGCTAACTTCAGTGCAAAGAAGAAAAGAGGAGAAAGGATTTCAATTCTAAATATCTTCATTTTTCTATAGTACCAAATAGAAAGTGTTGTGAAATAGATTTGTTTCCTTTAAACTTTTGAAAATCAGAAAATTTAAGTTATCTATGTGCCTTAGCTTCCCTCAAGATGATTGCAAAGTGGAACTGCCAATCAATTACGATCACTGTGGTTAAAGAGTAAAGGATTTAGCATTTTGAGATTTAAACACAATTCAAAAAACCTTTTCGTAAGCAATGTTCTGGGAGCCTGCCTCTGCTCACTTGATAATTCAATGTTCAGAGCCAGAGGTATTGCTCCGTCAGATCAGTTCGTGCTCGGTCAGTCAGCACCACATTGGGTTGGAAGCATGTAGAACTGGGAGTCTAATTCAGAACCTTGAGCATATGCTTGCCTGTCCTTGCAGCTGTTTCCTCAGCCTCTGGAGCTGTTTCGTTTCTGTTTTGTGCCACAGCTAGCGGCAATCAGGGCTTATTCCTGACTTTGAGCTCAGGAATCATTCCTGGCAGGGCTTTGGGGACTATACGGAATGCCGGGGTCCCAAAATGACCACATGCAAGGCAAACATTCTGCTTGCTGTACTATCTCTCTGGCCTCTAGTTTTATTTTTTAAAACTAGAAAAAAATTTCTCTTAACTGCTTCGTTCCTCTCTTCCTCTTCCCTCCCCTCTCTCTCCTCTGTCCTTAGTTCCCTATGAACTGAATTAAGAGATGGTTAAGCATTAGTACCACAATATCTTTACAGAAGAGTTCACTGAGAATTGTGAAAAATAACTAGTTATTTTAATTTATCAATACCTTTTTTTAAAAAAAGCTAAAAAATTAAATGTTCATTATAATCGTTATGGGCTGGAGCGATAGTACAGCAGTAGTTTGCCTTGCGTGCAGCCAGCCCGGCCAAGCCGGGTTCGATTCCTCTGCCCCTCTCGGAGAGCCCAGCAAGCTACCGAGAGTATCTCACCCACATGGCAAACCTTGGCAAGCTCCCTGTGACCTATTCGATATGCCAAACACAGTAACAACAAGTCTCAAAATGGAGACGCTACTGGGCCTGCTCGAACAAATCAATGAACAAAGGAAGACAGTGTTTGTTTGTTTGTTTTATAATGGTTATATTTGGTTAGACTCATATAACATGAGGGAGTTAAAAATCCTTCAAGCTGTAAATAAATAGTTCAGTTATAACTCAAGACAAATGGCAAAATATTCCTGGAACACTTCAATGAGTATCATAAGTGAATAGACACAAAGCTGAAAGAAGACTGTCAATAATTTAAGGGTACTTCAGTAAATCTAAAATCATTACTTCTTCTGGCAAATTGGTTATATTTTAGCTCACCTCTCTTTGGAAACATTTTTATTTTTTTGGGGAGCTGGGTTCCTTTCCAAAGTTAAATATAGATCTTTTTTCAATTAGTTTTGGGAACACTCAGATACAACTCAAAGTAAGTTAGAAAAATGCCTATTTTTAAGCTTCTAATCAGACCCTAAATCCACAGTATGCCTTGTAAGTTCACATTCCTTATGGAGAAGACAGGATGGCTGGATATTATTACCTGGAATGAAAGAATGATCAAATAAAGCCTGGCACCCATCAGCCTGTCCACTTACATAATACTATAAACAGTCCGTCCACTACTCAGAAAAATTACAGAATCTATGTTAGAGAATGTATGTTTATTCTCTCTGCAGATGAAAGGTCCTGCTATCCAAACAGCATGCAAGTCTTGCAAAGAGGCTTTAAATTAGCCTCATGAAATAGTGTGAAATTCAGTAGGGGAGCCAAACTCTATTCTGGTCTTCTCTGGTGTTATGTGTTTAGTCAGGACATAGATCAAGGCATGCACTACAAAAGAGTCAATTTGAGCTCATTAAATGTTAATATGCTTTTCAAGTTTGGGAATACTTCTACTCCAGCAGCAGAGATAGGATCACATCTATTTCCTACCATCTTCTTCATTGATGAAGAGGCTTTGCAAGCCACGTAAAACACACCTGCAGGAAAGACAAAGGGGAAATAATTTAAGCTCCCCACCCCCTAGCTCCCACTCCACATGGAAAAAGTGAAGTTTTTCTCTTGGCCAAGTCTGCGGTGTCTAGATTGATGTTTACAATTGCATTGTGTCTCAGGAGATGAAAGGAAGAGGTGCCAGTAGTAATTGCTATCTGGAGCCAGAGCTTATTTACTCACGTGTATGTGGTCCATCAGTCAACCCGGCTTTGTAGCACTAACTAATGGGAGTGCTTAGAACAGA